CAAACAAAGAAGAAAAAGAAGCCGGGGTAGAAATACTTATATCAGACAAAATAGAGTTCCAAAAATGGGCCATAAAGAGACACCCAGAAGGTAACTTCATAATACTCAAGGGGAGAATCCATCAAGATGACATAAACATTGTAAATATATGTGCACCCAACATAGGAGCACCCAAATACATAAAGAAAATGTGAGAGGACTTCAAGAAAGATATTGACAGCAACACAATTATAGTATTGGACTTCAACACCCACTGTCAAAAATAGACAGATCTTCCAAACAAAATATCAACAAATATATTGTGGCATTGAACAATGCCCCAGATGAAATGGGCTTAACTGATATATATAGAGCCCTCCAACCCAAAGAAGATTAAATACACATTCTTTTCAAATGCACATGGAACATTTTCAAAGATAGAACACATAATAGGACAAAAAACAAGCCTCAACAAATTCAAGAAATTGAAATCATATCAAACATTTCTCGACCTCAAGGGACTGAAACCAGAAACCAACCACAAGGAAGAAAACCCAAAACACTCAAAATCATGGAGATTGAATAACATGCTATTAAACAATCAGTGGGTTGACAATGAGATCAAGAGGAAATCAAAAAGTTTCTGGAAACAAATGAAAATGAACTCACAACAACTCAAAATTTATGGGACACAGCAAAGGCAGTTCTGAGAGAGAAGTTCGTAGTGATACAGGCCTCCCTAAAAAAGATAGAAACATTTCAAGCAAACAACCTAACCCTACATCTACAAGAACTTGAGGAACAACAACAAAGACAGCCTAGAGCAAGCAGAAGGAAGGAAATAACCGAGATTAGAGCAGAATTAAATGACATAGAGACTAAAAGCACAATTCTAAGGATCAAGGAATTCAGGAGCTGGTTCTTTGAAAACATAAACAAAATCGACAAGACTTTAAGCAGGCTCACCAAGAAAAAAAGAGAAAGGATCCAAAAAAACACAATCAGAAATGAAAGAGGAGAGATTAGACCTGACACCACAGAAATACAAAGGATTGTGAGAAATTACTGTGAAGAAGTGTATGCCAAGAAATTTGAAAACGTAGGTGAAATGGAAAAATTTCTAGAAAAATATAATCTTCCAAAACCCATTAAAAAAGAAGCAGAAAGCCTGAACAGACCAATGACAGGAAAAGAAATTGAAGCAGTAATCAAAAATCTCCTGAAACACAAAAGTTTGGGTCGGGATGGTTTCACAGGAGAATTCTACAAAGCATTTAAGGAAGAGGTAACCCCTATCCTCCACAGACTATTCCAGAAAATCAAGAATGATGGAAGACTCCCTAATTCTTTTTATGAAGCCAGAATCATCCTAATTTGAAAACCAAATAAAGACACAACAAAGAAAGAAAATTTCAGGCCAATATCACTGATGAACATAGACCCTAAAATCGTCAACAAAATATTGGCAAACCTCATACAACAATACATTAAAAAGATCACCTACCATGTCCAAGTGGGATTCATCCCAGGGATGCAAGGATGGTTCAACATTCACAAATCAGTAAATGTAATACATCACATAAACAAACCAAAGACAAAAATCACATGATCATATCAGTAGATGGGGGAAAAGCATTTAGTAAGGGACAGCACCCATTTCTGATAAAAACAGTCAGCAAAGTAGGAGTAGAGGGAGCATTCCTCAACATAATAAAGGGCATATATGACAGACCAAAAGCCAACATCATACTCAATGGGCAAAATCTAAAATCTTTTCCACCAAGATCAGGAACAAGATAAGGTTGTCCACTTTCACCACTTCTATTCAATATAGTACTAGGAGTTTTAGCCACAGCACTCAGACAAGAAAAGGAAATAAAAGGCATCCAAATCAGAAGGGAGGAAACAAAACTGTCATTGTTTGCAGATGACATGATAGTGTATGTAGAAAATCCTATAGACTCTACCAAAAGACTGCTTGACATAATAAGTGAACTTGGAAAAACAGCAGGAAAGAAAGTCAATATCCAGAAATCAAAGGCATTTTTTGTATACCAACAATGAAACAGCAGAAACAGCAATCAAGAAAAAAATCCCATTTGATATAGGAAAAGAAAAAATAAAATACGTAGGAAAAAATCTAACCACGGAAGTAAAAGATCCCTATACAGAAAACTACACAACACTGAAGAAAGAAATTAAGGAAGACACAAACAAATGGAAATATATTCTGTGATCCTGGATTGGAAGAATTAACATCATCAAAATGTCCATACTACCCAAAGCAATTTACAGATTCAATGCAATACCTATTAAAGTACCAATGGTATATTTCACAGATATAGAACAAACATTTCAAAAATTTATGTGGAACCATACATGACCCCAAATAGCTGCTGCAATTTTGAGAAAGAAAAGCAAAATAGGAGGTATCACAATACCTGACATCAAACTGTATGATCAGGTCACTGTAATCAAAACAGCCTGGTTTAAAAACAGGCACATGGACCAATGGAACAGAACAGAGCCCAGAAATAAGCCCAAGTCTCTATGGCCAATTAATATTTGACAAAGGGGGCATCAAAATAAAATGGAGTAAAACTAGCCTCTTCAACAAATGGTGTTGGGAGAACTGTACAGCTACGTGCAAAAAAAATGAAACTCGAGCATCAACTTACATCATACACATAAATAAATTCAAGGTCGATGAAAGACTTAAATATAAGCCATGTCACCATTAAAGTCCTGGAAGAAAACATAGGCAGGAAAATCTCAGATATTTCACACAGCAATATTTTTACTGATACGTCTCCCAGAACAAGGGACATAAAGGAAAAAAATAAACAAATGGGACCTCATCAAAATACAAAGCTTCTGCACAGCTAAAGAAAACAGTATTAAAATAACAAGAGAACCAATTGTATGGGAAAACATATTTGCCAATGATACCTCAGACAAGGGTTTAATCTCCAAAATAATGAAGAACTCACACCACTCCACTCTACGAAGACAAACAACCCAATTGAAAAATGGGCAAAGGACTTGAACAGACACTTCTCCAAGGAGGACATACAGAGGATCCAGAGACACATGAAAAGATGCTCAGTATTGCTAGCTATCAGAGAGCTGCAAATTAAAACCACAATGAGATACCACTTTACACTAGTCAGAATGGCCATCATAAACAAACCAACAAACAACAAATGTTGGAGAGATTGTGGGGAAAAGGGGCCACTAGTGCACTGTTGGTGGGATTGCAGACTGGTACAACCACTATGGAAAACAGTATGGAATTTTCTCAGAAAATTAAAAATGAATCTGCCTTTTGACCCAGCAATCCCACTGCTAGGATTGTATCTTAAGAACCCTGAAACACCAATCCAGAAGAACCTGTGCACCCCAATGTTCATACCAGTGCAATTTACAATAGTCAAGTGTTGGAAGCAACCTAGATGCCCATCAGTAAGTGAATGGATCGAAAAACTCTGGTACATTTACACAATGGAATTTTATGGAGCAGAAAGAAGGAGCTCCTATCCTTTGCAACAGCATGGATAGAACTCGAAAACATTATGCTAAGCTAAATAAGCCAGGCAGTGAAAGACAAATACCACATGATCTCACCTTTAACAGGAACCTAAAGAACAAAACAAAGAAACAAGCAAAATATAACCAAAGACACTGAAATAGAGAACAATCTTACAGTGTTCAGAGGGGAGAGGAGAGGGAATTTCAGGGGAATTTCAGGGGAAAAGGGGAAGGGTTTACAGGAAGAAGTATAAAGGACACATGGATAAAAGCTAGGGGCAGGTGGAAATGGGAGGGAGTAGGGTGGGCTGGGTGGGTGAGTTTGGGTCGGAGTAAAAGATAGAAAATTGTACTGCAACAAAAATTAAAATAAAAAATATATTAAAAAGTTAGATGTTAAGGAGAATAAGCCTTGTCAGTTATAATAGAAGCCCAATAATAATAATAATAACAATAAAATATTTATTGAGGACTTAGTATGATCCAGAATCAACATAGCTGAGTGGCTCAGGGCAGAAACTCTGGTGACTGGTTCATGTTTAGGCTTTAGTTCTTACCTGGGGCTTTGCTTTAGTTTCCTTCTATTTAAACAGGAACAATTAAAATATTTACCTCTTAGGATTGTGTTGTGAACTAAATAAGTTAATATAAGGAAAAGCTTTAGAGCAAGGCTTGGTACAAGTGTTTTCTGCCCAATAATAACAATAATAATTATTATTACCATCTCCATGTACTTTTTACTCAATACTCGGGAATATTCAGGCATAATAGTCATTTTAAAGATGAAGTAACTGAGGCTCAGAGGAGTCAGATAATGATCTTCCATTACACCATATTGCTTTCATATTGCTTGCTTAAAAGTGATGCTTTTAAATCATAATGTGTCATGTACAGATGGTTTCGGCTACAAGAAACATAAAGCCTAAAATACAGTGGCTGGAACCATAGATATAGTTGTCACTATTTACTTAACAACAAGTCTGGGGATTGGTCAGCATCTGAAGGAATGCCATCAAGAATCTAGGCTGTGTGTTTCCATTCTATTCTCTTTAGCTGCTGGTTTTTTGTTGTTTTTATACTTTTTGCCTCATGGTCACAAGATGGCAGTTCAAATTCCACGTTTGACATCAGTCTTCAAAGGGGGGATAAGGAGGAAAGAGTGGGACTGGTCACATGTGTTCTCATTGTCAATAAAGCAAAAGTTTCTCAGAAGCTCCCTAACCGACTTCCCTTCATCTTTTTCCAGAATTGGGTATCATGGTCACTGTGGCTTTTAGCTACTTTGGACAGGGCAGATATAGAGCATTCCTGTCAATATGGTTCTGTTGAGCATGGTTGTATAGAGCAGGAGGCAGCAAAATTTTAAGAGAGTCACAGATGGTCATTGGGTTAGCCAGCCAGTAATGCTTGCCACATGTGGGAATGTAATTATGTTTTTGACCATAAAAACAGAGGTGACTAAAACTTAATCATGCACTTTTTCTCTTGGAAATATGCACATCTATTCTTTAGGAATGACCCTGTACTGGTCAGCAGGGTTTCATGTTCCACAAAATCAGGTCTGTAACAAGATACTCAAGTCTTTGGATTTACTCAGCATTCTTTTTCTGGGTCAGGGACTATGTATACTGAGCTGTGTGCCACCACTCTTTCCTCCTAGGTTCTAAGAAGGCATTGCCAACCGATTATAGAATTGCTCTTGCTGAGCCCAGAGATAACCTCCGAGGCCTACTCATGGCAATCTAGGCAACCACAATTTAGAGCTGGCAAACAAGATAAGGCTTATTTACCACCTCTGCTCAGAGGAAGTAGCAAGCTAGAGGATTTGATGGCTCCTAAAAACACAAATTTATAAAACAGGCTTTAAAGCAGTTCTTCCTGAAGTGAGATGCTTCCCTGAAAAAGGGTTCTGTGCTGAATTGATTTTGGAAAATGCTGCCTACGATGTCTTTCTCTAACAGATTTTTCAGAGTAATTTATTAAAGACTATGAAAAGGATTAAAGCACAGAAATTTTTAACTTTATCATAGAATTTCACAAAAATTTTGACTACAGAATTTGTGTGTGTTTGTGTGAGAATGTGAGTTTTCATCTAACAATAAAGAAACCAGTGTAACAAGAGCACATGCTGAAGAACGCTGCCCAGTCATTTATCCTTTCTTTCCCTTCTCCCTTCCAACTTCTATCTCATTCTTGCCTTCTCTAGTTCTGTGGCAGGAAAAGAAAACCCCATGAAAAGGTTTCTATGCTCTGTAGCTTCTTTGATAAGCAGTGCTCTCTGTAACACTTGCAAAATGTCACAGTGCCTTTGTTTTTATATGACGAGGAGCTGACTAGCAGCCGTCACCAAGGTAACAGTTATCTCAAGGCCAAAACACTGACCTTTGCTTCACTTCTGCTTCTGTAATGTTTGCTTTAGCAGATGACTGGCCCCCTCCTCTTTTTTGCCTTGTAACAAGTATTTAAAGGAAACTCCAGCTTGGACTCTTTGCTCAGAGGATTTGAATGGTTAACTCCCCTCTGAGGCCCCGGGTAATAAAGTTTGTGCTTCATCATCTCTCCGCGAGTGAGTGATTTTCTGCAACAGTTCAACACTCCAATGTTTCCTGGTGCTTTTTCTGAAACAGGAACCTGCTCATGTCCCTCCTCCAGTGAAATCTTTTGTAGCTCCCCAGTACCCACAGGATTACATTCTACTTCCCAGCAGGGCACACCTGGAGCACAGAATTGGGTTCCCACTTATAGTTTTGTTTCCTCTTTGTGCTCTGCCATAATCAGGGCTAGTTTCATGGCCATATGGCCTGCATAATAGCACAGCACCCTACATTTACAAGGGCCCCATGTTGCGCGTGGGTCACCAGCCAGCAGTGACCACGGAACACTGTGGATGGCTTGACAACAAACACGCGAGAAATAACAACATGCACAGAGACAAACTAGTTTCTGTGGGGAAGTAGGGACGGAATGGCCACCCCCCCTAGTGGGGAGCGCACTGATTTACCGTCCATACCTGCTTTTATTAGGCTCATGCTGCATAATAATTCAGGTAAAGTACAGTACTCATTAGGGGAAGTAAGGAACTATAGAAAACAAAGAGCTCTGCCCGTCTATTGAGTTGGGGGTCAAAGAGCTGTAAGACTGAGGAACAAACTAACTTCCTCCTAAGACCCTTCTCATTCAACTGAGAGCATTCTAAACAAAGAAGGTTTCACAGTAATTTACATATTCTTTCTTAGGCCTGATCACCCTGGGGAATCCGCACTTCTCAGTACCGAGCTGCACCACCCTGTCATTGTTTCAGGCTTAGGTGGAGCAAGGGAACTAAGGCAACCAAGAGATAAGGAGATTTTCTTCCAGACGCTGAGAACTCAGGCTATGTCAAAGCCGAGGTGCATCACCCCCCTTTGCTGCAGCCCCCCAAGTCCTTCTTTTGGGGGGGCCTCCCAAAGTGATCGTGCCTGTCTTAGGTTGTTCCCCCCGTGGGGAATCTTACCCGTCTTTGGCTAACCGACCAAGCTTTTGGGGTTTCAGTCATGAATAAAGCAGCAGAAGCAGCATTCCTGCCAGGGAGATAAGCTTTTGTCTCCTTGCTGGCTCATGGTTCCAAGGGCATTCCCTTAGCCTTAGCTTGGCGGGGGTTTCAGCCTCTGATACCAGTCAGGGCGGTTCCCAACAGCCCCATGCTTTATTTAATGCTCTGTTGTCACTGTGTTGAAATTCTGAATAACTTCAAATAAAGGGCACTGATCATCATTGTTCTGGGCCCTTCCCATACTCCCTTTCCTTTCAAATATATGCTGACATTTGCACACACTACTCCCTCCATCTGCAGCTCACTTTCCACTTTTCTGGTTAACTCCAGCATGACAAGAAATGGTAGTACAGCCTTTATCTGCAGAATGATCAACAATATGGATGAGCATGAGATAAAAGCCTGATTTTGAGTCTGGGTGGAGGCCTTCCCCGTATAAATAGTGGCCATGTAAATACATGAAGGAAGTGCTTAATATAATAAAATATTGATTTTTCTTTTTGTTTGGTGCATACGTGTGACATAAAGTTCAGCCAAAACTTACTGATCTTGTGCTAACTGCTGAAGATTCCAAAATGAAAAAGCCACTGTCCTTTTATATTCCTGAAACTCACATTCTAGTTGAAAGGCCCACTGAGACCCATCTAAATAATCTGAGAAAAATCACAGGCTGCCTAGGTGAATGTAAATTAAAGGCTGTTTGAGCCCTGGTTTGATCTGGATGCTTGGCATAGGTGGAGATTCATTTGGTCAAGCACTTATTTTTCATAAGTATATTAAGCACATGTGTGGGCTCTCCGTAAACTGAAGGGCATTGCTGTTTAGAGAGCAGAAAACCTCACACAGCTGGCACAGTGACAATCGTTCTGCATTTGGTGGCTTCAGTGATTATCTTGTATCTATCCCTGAATTCTCCAGAAGGACCAGGCCTTGTTGAGGGGTTCATGAGAACATGTGTTTTTGTTGCCTTCACTGCACACCTGCAGGAACTGGCTGCAGGGCAGCAGCTCTCCAGCTGGCTCATGCAGCACCTTGCTTCCCAGCCCCTGCAGCTCCAGGAGCCCTTGCACTCTCTCCTGCTGACCATGTGTGAAGAGCAGCCTGGCAGGCGACTGCCACTGCAGGTGGTTCTGGAAGCCTGCTGGGTTCATCAGGAAGAAAGGGTTGTATACCCTGCCTCGGACAGTGTCCATATCAGATGGCTGGTTGGCTTGCTTCTGGGTACCCTATCCAAGGTCATTGTGGATCTCCACTTCTCATGCCAGGAGCCATTAGCCATGTGTGGCGGTTGAAATTTAAATGAGGTAAAATATAGTTAATTAAAGTGAAATAAAATTAAAAGTTCAGTTCCTCAGTTTCATCTGCCACGTTCAAGTGTTCAGTAGCCACATGGAGCTGGTGATGGTCATTCTGAATGGGTCAGATCTAGAGCATTCCTGTTCTGTTGGGCAGTGCTGGCAAAGATCTTGGGGCAAGCCAAATTCCTCATGTGGCTAAGACCCTGGGGATCTTGGAAAGAGCCTTTTTACATAAAAACAATCATGTTTATAAACCATGAGTCAGTTTGCCTATCAAAATTAAACTCTAGGCCTCTTGTATAAGAAATCTTCCCTTACCATACCTACACAGTCCTCCCCACCCCGTGCAAGCTCCCCTGTGCTATTTTGTACCCGCAGGGTGTCTCCTTGTTGTGCTTGTCACATTGTGCCAGTTGCTGCCCTGTACCCTTCCCAACACCTAGGAAGGTGCCTGGCACATAGTAGGTATTTGATTTGGCCTGGGTTTTCTTGACGCAAAACCAGAGACAGGGATATTTATGAAAATTACTTATTGGAAAAATACTTCTGGGAGTGATGGAAAGAGGACAGGAAGGGGAGAAAGCCAAGCAAGGAGGTTGTCTCAGGTGGAGACAGCCTCAGGGTGATTGCACCTGTGTTGCATCTCCTCAAGGCCAGGGCAGAGCTGGGACTAGGGTGAGGCAAATGAGGTGCTCAAAGTACAAATGCAAAGAGGTTAGCATCTTAGAAGAATCAGAGAAGGCTGGGTAGCCCTGAACTCATCTTGGAGACAGGCTGGAGAACTGAGCCATGATTAACGGAGGGGTCATGTGGATAGAGAAGAGAGAACAGTTGTGGACAGGGGGACACTATCAGAAGTCAATCAGAAAATGGCTCTCTCATTCTGTTTTCCTTATTGGATCCCTGCTTTCTTGGCATGTGGACATGTTGCCCCTATGTGTTGAGCCAGAGGGTTTGGTAGGAAAGGGGGTCTGTTTGTTTCAAACACTTTAGATCCTGACCCCCTTTGGTGTCTCATTGTCCCCTGAATGACACGGAATTAACCTAGAGCATTTTCATCAGGGAACCATAAGGTAGATTTTGGTTACTAACTGGACATTCATTGGGGCTGAACTACGTGAGCTACAATGAGGCATAAATCACGCAGTGAGATTGGGGGAAACAAATAAGCAAGCAAATGTGATATAATGGAGTGTAATAGAGGGTGTTGTGAGTATAGTGATGAGGGAAGGTGCTGAAAGGACATTTACATCTGTATGAGGGCAGAGGTGGAGAGGATTAGAAGTAGAGAAGGCATAGCTCTGGGTCTTGGAGGCACAGAGGACCTCAGCAGGGAGTCCCCAAGCAGTAGAGGGAGAGTGTGGGCAAAAGCGCAGATGTGCATAAGTACACAGGTATTGGAGTGGAATTACCTTCAGGGTGTGTATGGGTGATGGGTACAGAGCATGTCTGGGTGCTAGGGAATGCATCGCTAGGCTCTCACTGTGTGGGACAGACACTGCCACACTGACCCAAACTGACAGCTTAGTCTGTATGTATCTATATAAATGCCCCCTCAACCTTGGGATACCAATGTGTGATGCACTTGACCTTCAGGTGGAAAGGATAGTTGTGAAAGAAAGCTCCTCTGCAGAGCAGTACAGGAGCTACCTGCTCAGGAGTAGGTTGCACCAGATGAGCTGTGAGACCAACAGCATGGACTCTGGAGGGTCTGCATCCCTCCAGTGGTGGGTCGGTGCCTGGGTGGGCCACTGGAGACCATGTGCTGCCATATGTGGGCCAGATGTCTATGCTATGGTGACAGAGAATGCCTGTGCAGACTCAACTCTTCCAGGAAGCCCTTGAAGAGAAGGGGCTGAGCTTCGGACTCCTCTGTGTTGTGGAGAAAGCTTCATTTGGAGATACAATTCAACAGAGATATTTATATCTAGTGTAAACTTATAGTTATAGGGATCTAGTGGTTCAAGTTGGTAAAACAATTTAAAACAAACAACATAGAAAGAAAATTTCTTTAGTTTCTAAGTGGGAAGAAAGAAAAGTAATCTATAAAATATTGTTTTTGTTGTTGCTCTAGGTGTGTTAAAAGAATGAACTTTAGAATGATCTTTAAATCTGTTCTCTACTTTTCAACTGTGTCTGAGATTTAAAAAAAACAAAATACAACAATTTTTGTTTGTTGTCCCTAAAATAAAGTACTCTTTGCTCTTAGGCTTTATCTTTCCCTTAGAACTTCCTCCAACCCTTTGTCATTTTCATTTCCATTTTTCACATGAGGAAACAGACTCAGAGAGGTTAAATAATTTTGCCAAGGTCACACAGCTGGTAAGTCAGGATACTGATATCCACACTCCAGTCTGTCTGATTCAAGAAAGGAGGGCAGGTGACCCAGCTCTTTGTCTCTGTTCACGCTCTCCACTCTGCTGTTGGGTTAGTTTCAGAGAGAAGCACAGAGATCCAGAGTTCTCTGAAGCCCAGTCCAAGCACCTCAACACATAGTCACTGTAACCTCTCTGTTAACAGGTAAGCAGCAAGGTGTACAGGGCTTTGAGCTTGGTGTGGGAAATAGGGCAGTGGGTATAACCTACTTCTTTACTGATTATTGATGAGAAGCCTCTTGCTTCTTCAGAAGAAACTGACCCACTGGCAGGTGAAAAAGCCACATTTAAGCAGATACTAAGACAAGGTGATGAGGTGCCTGATGGCAAGTGTGCTGTCAGGGCATCTGTCTCCCCTGGGAGCCAAGAGCAGGCTTAGTTATGGAACAACAACATGCTTTCATGTCCTTGTGATTATCTATTGCCATGTGAGGCTCCATAACAGCCACAAATCACAGTGGCTGAAAATAATGATTGATTTAGCTCTTGATTCTGTGAGTTGGGAGTTTAGGCTGTGCTCAGCTGGAAGGTTCTTTTGGACTCTGCTGGATGCCATTGTGCACCTGTGATTGGCTACTTCTGGGGGGATGGCTGGCTATTGTCTTGGAGATCCCAGATCTTTACCAGAAGGCTAGCCCATGATTGTCAGAGGGAGAAAGAGAAGGGAAGGGAAGGGGCACAGAACTTTCAGAACTAGCCTCCCACCATTTTCATATCATGGTATTGGCTGAAGCAAGCCACAGACTAGCCTGGATTCAAGAGGTGGGGAATAGACTCCACCTCCTGATGGGAGGATGGACAAAGTCACACTGCAGCCTTAACTTCTCTAGGCCTCAGCTTCCACATTTGAAAGTGGATATAGTGCCTCCCTCATATGTGTAGGATGAAGATGAAGTGGTGCGCACATCCTGCCCCACTGAACACCTACACATGGTGGTCTTTTACTAGCTGGAAGCCATTTCCACTGTTAATTGTTCTTCCTATTCTCTGACTGCTGGATGGCCAGTGCTCTTCCAGCTGAAGCTTTCCAGGACCTTCAGGAGGGCAGGTGGCCCTGCTCCAGATCCCCTATCTCTGTGGCAGTGCATAGCTCATGGCCAGAAACTCCTTCTCAAAAGTGTTTCCTGCAAAGAAAGGGAAAGGTGAGCAAAGAAAGGGAAAGGTGACCAAGAAAGGGAGAGGATGAAAGAATGGATACCCACAAAGAGGTTTGAATGGGGAGTGGTGGATGGCTGACATAGCAGCTGAAAATGGGCAGGGTCCTCTTGGGATACCAGTCTTCCTGGGCTGAGATTTCTAGAATTGAACCAAAAAACCATGAAACATTCAAGTCAGGGCATTAAGTGTTCATTGAGTGACCTTGCTGTAGTAGATGTTGTATAGGATAGAAAGTTGAAGGTGCCAGGTCTACCCTGGTGGTAGGTTCACCACAGCCGTGGTGGGGAGGTGGCAGAATGAGGTAGGTGATAAGAGAGCTGACAAGGCCCAATGTACTTGGAAGGGGCCTTTTAAACTGAGGGGAAATGCAGGGGCAAAGATGTGGGTGGGATGGACAGGGAGGAGAGTCTCTGTTCTGGTTGGCACATAGGATAACAGAGTTAAAGCTGCAGCTGACAGAGCGATGGATGACAGAGACTCCTGCAGTGTGCTCATGCCTGTGGGGACCCTCAACTCCTCACAAGGCAGTCTGCTCTCTGCTGAAGGGCCTGTGCTGGATGGTGAGATTGGGGTGGTCCTGGGATGCACCTTCTACCAGAAACAGCCCACAGAACCATTTCCAGTGCTTAGAAAAAAGAAGCTCTTCCTCAAGGGTGACACTGCCATGGGCTGAAAAACTGTTTTAATAACCACATGACACCTGGGGGAATAGCATGCCCTGGAGTGGTGACAGATCCCTTATGCACAGGCTGTTTCCTGAGGAGACTGCTTCCACTAGGCCTACTGTTGAGTATTTAACCCTTTGGGAATGTCAGACCCAGATGCCTCCAGAAGGTCTTTGTCTGCCTGTCACAGAGAGACTTGTTTAAAGCTTCTCAACAAATCGGAGATGAGCTGAGCCTGCAGTAGCCTTAGGTCATCCTCCTCGTGCGTGGATCTGGGCTGCCACCCTTCTTAGCCCAGACCCTGTTGCCCTCCAAGGCCACTCTTAGGTCCTCATGATCTCTGGGGAACAGAAACAGGTTCACCTTCTTTGGCTTTTCTTCCTCATCACTCATTAAAGACACTTCTATTGAGTACTCTCTCAGGACATGCACCACCCCTGGCTGGACCTTTGGCCTCTTGAGACAGGTGTCCTGCTGGGCACTCTTGGGGACACATTAGAAAGTCCACCCAATTATCTCAGTCACTGACATTGGGCATGGGAGAGTTTATTAACCTCTTGGAGCCTCAATTTCCTGCAAAATAAGTTGAGATTATGTACCTCATAGCATAATGGCGAGGTCTAAATAATGCTGGGTATTAAGGTATTTCCCAGGTCATAAATGTGATACAGACATAAAGTATTGTGATATGAGAATGGCCGCCCCCACATGCTATTGATTCAACATCCACAGCTAGAAAAAGTTTTATCTAATCTAAATTAAAGATATCTTTGTTTTTAAAAGTTCTTATTGCATATAGCATACATTTGTATTATATAAGGTATTTTTATAATTTTGATACACACAATGATTATATAAGCATGCATGGATTATGAAACTTATAATAAAGTAGACACCCAGCTTAAGAGCTAGAACATCCTGTAAGGCTGCTGCTTCAAACTGCCCTGCCCAGCTAGGGACTCAGGCCAGTTTAGCCTCATGTCCCTGAAACCTGTTTCCTGCTGGCTCTGGGAAAGGGAGTGCTAGGAGGGTGTGGGGAGAGATGTACCCACAGAGGAAGCCTAGTCCCAAAGCTGGTGTCTAGTCCCATGGCACAAGACTTCTCTTCTCTATGTTGAGTGACCCTGGGTGTTTCCCTAGTTCTCCAGGCTGGAGTTTACCCTGCTGGCTGGAGAAGCCCCGGTGAATTTGCATCTGCCTGGATCAATTGTGGTAACTGCTGGGTTAGACTGGGCAGGGATGGAGGGTGCTAAGGGAGCTGACTAACTGCACAGGTCCAGAGGCTGACTGACCTTACTGGGGTTTCAGCCTGGGAGTGTCCCCGAGTGTTCATTCTGTCCTCCAGATGCCTGCCAGAGCTCTCTACAAAGTCATATTCCTGCTTCACGTCCTTCAGCACTTCTTTTCTCCCTTAAGAGAAACCTTCTGTAACTTTGGTTAAATTCTGCTTGTCCTTTCAGCCTTAGCTCAGCCTTCATCTTCTCATTCAGTCAGAAATATTGTTTAAACATCTAGAAAGTATCAGGCACTATTCCAGACCCCAAATCTATGATGTGGGCCAGAGTCCTCTTTGGAGCTTTTATTCTAGCATTTATACATTTGTCTGTTTTCTGGGACAGAAAATTTCATCTCCCCTCTCTTGGCTCTGTGCTCCTATCCCAGGGAGACTATGGACTCCCAGAGGGGTTGCAACCTCTGTGTGGATAGGCACTGGTACCTGGATTGGGAGAGATGAGAGGCCTGTCCCTGCTGGGTCACCCACAGCTCTGGTGCTGCCAGCTCTGAGTGAAGACAGTGGCTGCTGTGCCTTGCTCTGAGATGTCTTGGAGTGTATGTGCCTGACTGGGACCCTTCTTGAGCCATCCCCTGCAGAGGAGGAGAGTGATGGTAGAATATGAGCTGGAGGCCACCCTGGATGTTGGGTGGCAGAGGCTGCAGGGTAGGGATGGGAAGGGAAAAACCAGGTGCAGTTTGAGGCACCAGAAAGCAGAGGACTTAGCAGCCAGGACTCATTGCCAGGGGTGGGGAGGCAGGACCACTGTGAGCCTAAGCTCCATGTGCAGGCTCTATTGTCCCCTTGAACCACACTTAGAAAACACACATTCAAAGATATAAATGTTAAGATTTCAAGAGGGCAGCTACAGAGCAAGTAAACCCAAGTACAGGGCCCTTAGAGCATAAGGGATGAGCACTCCCCCACCTCTCTCTCTCTCTCCCCCCCGCCTCCTTCTTTTCTACCCCCATGTGGGTCCTGAACCCACATGTTAATCAACTGCTCAGGTGATTCAGGTGTGCAGCAAGGGCAGGAGTTGTGGTGCTCAGACTGTGCCATGTGATTAGCTCTGCCCAGGATCTTGCAGAAATCTTTTCCTACAGGGTCCTCAGATCTGCATTGCCCCCTGCAGCATCCAGAGAATTAAGATGTGGTGTGGTCTCAATGGCACTAAAACTACACGTCTTTGTTTATCCATGGCTGTCCTCTAAGGAGAATTTCCCTGCAGAGGCCTGGGCTATAGCTCACACTGGCATTTGGAGCAGAGAAGGGAGTGAGTGATTTACTCTCCAGACTATAGCCAAGAGTCCTGAGCCTGACCTGGAAGTCTCCTAGGAACTTTCTGTGTGGGGACAGAGAGGGAAGAGCACTCCATGCAGTGGATGTTGTGTGCAGAGACACAGGCTGACCGGGTCAGGGGCAGTGAAATGTGGGTGTTCAGAGGCCATGGTGGTCAGGGTGAGGTTGTGGTGGTGGATAAATCTGGAATTCATCTGAGTTGGTGGAAAGGCAGAAGGCTGACTGTTACACAATTTTGGATGGGGCTCTGCTGACCCATTTCTCAATGTGAAGTAATCTCCTTGCTCTGGCCCTCTCTTTATTGGATCTGTATCAGCCCAAATTCATTCTGCTGTGTTCTAGGGAAACTAGAGGGCAGTATAAGGTTGAGCGACACCACCAGGGGTGTCTGATTTATTAATAAAAGCCCTGGGCAGTCTTTTTGGAGGCGGAGTCTGAGGGGCAGCTGGGCTTTCAGCAAGGTAGAGGCACCAGTAAGACCTGCCTCCTCAGCCTTCCTGGCTCCTCCAGGGCCTGGCAGAGAGTATGATTTGCATCTGACTCTGCCTGTTAGGAGCTATGCTGCCATGGTAAGTCCCTTACCATCACTGAGCCTCATTTCTCATCTGCTAAATAGTATCATAAACAGTCTTAAGACTTGTATGTTAGTTAAATGAGACAATGTATATAAAGTGTTTAGCATAGCAGCTAGACCATGGTGAAGACTCCATGTCTCATAGTTACTGTTACAATCGATACTGTTATTATTTTCATACCCAAAAAGGGAAATCCTGTTTGACTCTTAGGGACCTCTATGTGGTGCTGCTGAGTGGGCAGTGTCTGGAGGTGAAATGTGACATCACGTCCACAGTGGGGGCCATCTACGATGCTGTCATATCCTTTGCCAATTTTGGGGAGCTGATCCACTTTGGCTTGGCTTACATGAAAGGTAAGTGTCTCTTGCATAGCCCACAGCTGTCCTGGTGCCTCAGGTAACCCAGGTGTCTAGGTACTTGAGCACTATTCCTTCTAAAATAACTGCTTGGGCTGGGGCATATCACCCTGCACACTTAGACATTACTTAGCATGGTGAAGGCTTCAAGTGTTTATGTGCAAAGTGTCAAGTAAGTGCAGAAGACTGTAATGAAACCATGCCTGTAAGATCTTGTGTGTTTTTGTGATTTGCTGGGTTTGGTTGGCTGATCTCAATGTACCAATAAGAAAATGTTAAAATGTTAAACCCATTTCCATCTAGATTGGAATACAAAATGGTGCAGCTACTGTGAAAAATAGAATGGTAGTTTGTCAAAAAATTGCACATAGATTTTCCATATGACCCAGCAATTTTACTTTTGCATATATACACAAATAATTGAAAACAGGCTTCTCAGAGATTTTTGTACACTTATGTTTGTAGCAGCATTATTCACAGTAGTTAAAATGTGGAAGCAACCCAAGTGCCCATTGATGGATGAATGGATATGCAAAATGTGGTATGTATATACAATAGAATATTATTCAGCCTTAAAAAGGGTGATAATTCCATCACATGCTATAACATGGATGAAACTTGTGGACATTGTACTAAGTAAACTAGTTGCAAAAAGATAAATACTGTATAATCTCACTTATATAAGTGAGGTACCTAGAGTAGTCAAATTGATAGACACAAAGTGGAATGGTAGTTGCCAGGGGCTGGGGGAAGTGGGTTGGGGATTTACCGTTTAATGGGCACAGAGCTGCAGTTTCGCAAGATGAAAGGGTTTGGAGGTGAATGGTGGTGATGGTTGTTCAACAATGGGAATGTCCTTAATACCACTGAACTGTACACTTAACTATGGTTAAGATAGTAAATTTTATGTTATATCTATTTTATCACAATAAAAATTTTTAAATACTCATCTAATCATTCAGTACTAATGGGAAATCAGCACCCTGACCCTAAGTTAAGAATGAGTTCTGAAAATCCAAAGAAAAGTGTTTCTACACCCTCTTTTCATCTCTGCCCTTTCATTAAGTGACTCTTTATTTTAATCAACTTCAAATGTCCTTTTGCTATAATTGAAGTGCTTTAACCACTGTGTGGAATAATGGGAAGAGAGCTGAGCTTGGAACATGTGGGTCTTCAGGTTAAATCCTGGCTCTCCCAGCCCACCTTGCTAGGTGTCATAATCTTGGTGCTCTTCTCTTCTTCCTCCTCCAGTGGGAGAAGCTCATAAGCTTACTGTGGGATCATCCTGTGTGACACAGGGGTTTAGGAGGGTGGCCTTATCTCCCCATAGTTCTCAGCAGACCTGTGAAAAATCTCTCTCCAAAGTTAAAAGCATTACATGTTTTGATATGATCAATTGATGTTTGCTCAATCTTTAGAACAATGTGAGCAGGAGAATTTTTAGGAAACATTGTATTTTTATTGATCTGTAACATGCAATCTAAATAAAACCAGTGAGCTTGCTCTGAGAGTAGTACAACCTAGGGCTTATCTGCTACTGCCTTCTCCTGGTCAGGTACTGACCCTAGGACCCCTCCCATTTGACATTAGCTGTCTAGCTGGGGCCTCCTGGGTAAATCACTCAAAAGTGACCAGTCTGGGATTTGGCTATAAACCCACCAGGGAGGGTTTGCCAGCCAAACTGAAGCAGGGACCAACCATTCCCTGAGGAGGAGTGACCCTGAGGGAAGGGTGAGGTGGTATGGGGACTCAGATTCAGTTGCAAGGAAGAAAGCACAAAGGTAAGTTTAGAGGAGGTTTCTTGAATTTTTTAAAATGGCATTTCCATATTTATTTACTGAGATCTGGTACTTTTGCATTATCAAGAGTCTCTTGTGCCCCCTCCCTAATGTGGATAGTAAATGTGGTGGAAGTTAGTTGACATACACTTTAGGAAGCCATTTATCAGGATTATTATGTTCATTCTTGTCTTTTTTTTAAATCTATTTACCCCTAAAATGTTCTAATTTTGCTTAGAATTTAATTTTGCTTGTACATTTTAATTATTTTCATTAAGTTAAACCATTAACAAAACATTTTGCTAACTTGTAATTAATATATATGTCAAAATAAGACATTGGGCACTGTGTAGTGACTGTTAACTTGAACTTTTCTGGACATCTCCTTCCCTCTCCCCATCATGCATATACATGCCATTGGAAGGGAAGGTTACCTGTTTAAGACTTTTGCCTTACAAACCATGGCAACACACCTGTGGCCAGGCAACCTGCTACAAGAGCATCTCTATGCTGAGAGGACAGAGCACAGAGAAGGCTGTGGGGCAGAGTAAGCCTTGGGCAGATCTGCAGGAGGCTTGCGGGAGTGGCCAGGGCATCCAGGCAGAGTGGGGAGGGGATATATTTGCCTCACAGAGAGCAGGGGTAGAGACAGGCCCATCAGTGTCTGGGGCTGATTCAACCTCCTTCCCAGAGGTGCTAAGTACAAACAATAGGAGTTGAAGTCCTGAGCTTAGATGGGTAGAGTTTTCAAGCTGGCAACATTCAGGTCAAAAGGCAAATGCAACTCCATTTATGCCCTGTCTTGGTGAGCTTGGGTTGCTAAAACAAAATGCTGTGTAATGGGTGGCTTAAACAACACACATTTACCTCTCATAGTTCTGGAGCCTGGGAAGTACAAGATCAGGGTTTGATCCTGGTCAGGTTTAGAGATCTCTCTGGCTTAGGCAGTTACCTTTTCACTGTGTCTTCACATAGCAGAGAGAACTCTGGTTTCTTCCTCTTTTTATTACATTATCCCACAATGATGGTCAACCCTTATCACCTTATCTAAATCTAATCACCTTCCAAAGGCCACACCTCCAAATACCATCTCATGGAAAGTTAGGGCTTCAATATATGAATTTTGGTAACACACAAACATTCAGTCCATAACACACCTGTGGCTGGGGACACTTGGGGACCACCCAGTTTATGAAGAGGGCCTGGCCTATGGCAGGGATGGGATAAATACTCATTCCTTTGTTTTTCTTTTTATCTCCATAAGATGGTAGCTGGAAAGCATATAATAGTGATATCTTCTCTAAGGTAAATAATCACATTTTCTCTTTTGCGGCCAAGTTTCTCCTCCATGACCCTCTCCTCTTTGTCTCCTACTACAGCCCCTCATAGACCCAGCAGATCCCCAGTGGTAGCAGGTGTGCAAAGAACTTGGTTCCTGCTCTCTCCTGCAATGAGAAAGCTCTTGTCCCACATTCTGGGCAGGGCTCAGGGCTATAGATCTGAGGGGTGGTGCCTGCCTGACTTCTTTTCCCTCCAAATACTCTCTACTTTCATTTCAGACAAAGAGTTCTTTTTCCTGGCCAATGAAATCAGTTTGTGCAAAATAGCCCCTAAGGGGTGGAGTAAGCAACCACAGAAGACCTTCTGGAGTGCCTTCATACTCTTCCTGAGGATCAAGTTCTTTGTCAGTCACAATGGGCTGCTCCAGTGAGTTCTACAGACTTGTTGCATTGTCCATTAAGGGATAGGCACATCCAGATCCAGGCTGATGTTAGAGGTAGTAGTTAGAGGCAAGTGCTCAGTGAACTTTAACTTGTATATAAATAACAATTATTGTGGTTGACCTTCTATCAACTTAATTCCAATCTGACAGAAAAGGGGGGAAATCAGTGTTTAGGAGCAAGCTCTGGTCAAAATGAGAACTTGCCTGTTTGTTTCAAATATATTCCACTTCAGGTTAAAATTCTATCTCTCCTGACCTACATGTCCCTCCCCCCAGCAGCCAAGTCATGCGAGTTGGAGGATAGGGTCATGGCTTTGGAGTTCAGTCACTGCTTCTTTGTTCTTTAGCTCACTAGAAAAACCACCCAACTGAATGTCAGGTTTTTTCACTTGAACCACAGCAACAAACATATCCGTGGGTGTAAGTACATGGCACAGAGTGGCCTTCAACTAGAGGCAGGAGACATAGTGTGGATAAAGGAGACCACACTTGTCTTACTGCCATTGCCCTCTGGGTAGTATTTGTGTGTATCCTATATTCTCTCCTTTCCTTATTTTCCAGACTGAGAAAACCCTCTCAGCATTCCAGTGGCCTTTATTTCTTCTTTTCTTTCTCAGGCAGAGCTGGACAAGACATCAATTTCCCCTGTAGCTTCAGAAAGACATCCTGGAGGAGAAGCTGTACTGGAATGATGAGATACTGCTGCAGCTGGGTGTCCTAGCTCTGCAGGTTAAGTTTGGAAGTTACTCTGAGGAGGTAGAGGAGGAAAGCTGAGGCTCTTGGTGGGGTCAGCACAGGAGCAGTTATGGGACAAAGGGAAACTGTTGAAAATGTGGAGACTAAAAAGTATTGTTAGCATCTACCACTTAGATAGGGGTAACCATCTGCTCATCCATCCATCTATCCATCCATCCATTGATCCAACCACGCATCCATTCATCCAATCAAGTGATATTTGCTAAGTTCTGATAGATACAAAGATGAACAAGTCAAGTTTATGTATTACAATGTAGTTCTAGTCTAAGATTACTCCTAAAGAGAGTAATTTACTAATTTATTTGGTTCTCATCATCACCATCATCATCATCATCATCACCATCATCAATTAACAGGCCATCTTTATTAAAAGATCTCTATGTACCTGCCATTAAGCTAGACATTTTTCTACACCATTAACTCATTTAACCATCAAAACAACATTGCAAGGTTGATATTCACATTTTCTAGAAGAGCAATTTGAGACTCATGTGCCAAGAAAATGGCAAAGTCTAAATTTGAGCCCAGGTGTATCTGACTCCAAGGCCAGTGCTGTTTCTGCCAGATCTGCTGCCTCTCAAATAGAAGCTCTAATCTTGCTGTCCAAGTCCTTGTCCCTGCAGCACAATCATATGTTTCTTTGATTTAATTTGTGTCTAATTGTCCTATGTTATAGCCCTCAAGACTTAGTAGGGGTTACTGGTTATTTAATTTGAAAATACATCAATGTAGGGAGGGATAATGCTAATACATTTTTAACTTAATTAGGATTTAAAACAGAGATGCCATACAGGAAGGAAGGAACAACCAGGTGAGCTATGACAGAGTGTACTGCAGCTTTCTCTTGGGTTCATGAAAATCCCCCACCCATGTTCAAGGTGAAGTGGTAAAGGGGTCTGTTTAGACCTCAACAAAGACCTAAACAGTATGACATGACATCCAAATGTGGAGTGTGTCTCTGGCTTCATCAGTAGGAGCAGAGAGAGAAGAACAGTGGAGGTAAAGGTCTCACCAATGTCTTCCCAGGTGACTTCTTAGCCAGTGCACCGGTCTTAATCTTGGAGGGAATCTCACTGCCATGTTATAAAAACCAAGAGCCTTTGGCGAGACTTAACTTGGAGAAGAGATGCTCTAAAGAGGACATGAGAGCTGTGTGATAGAGGGGTTCCTTGCTTGAAAGAGAAAATGAGGTTTAACACATATGGCCTTAGGCCTTTGAATGCTTTCCCAGTAGGGTCTGCATGTCCATCCTGATCTCACCCATCCTCCAAGATCAACTCAGCCCCAACTCCACAGCTTTCCTGGCCTCCCCATCTGTGGGAGGAAATTCTCCCCATATTCTCTGGACCCTTGTGTACATTTCCCCCACACCCTTTGTCCAGGACAGGTGATCACTCAGTAGCAAGTTCTCTCAATAGCAAGTGACAGGAAAGCTCACTTGGCTTGAATAAAACATGTAATTTATTGGCTTACAAAACTGAAGTGTCCAGACCTCCCTGCTACTTGGACAAGCCTCCAGTCCTATCACTGCTTACCTTGTAGCTACCTCCTGTCTCCTTGGTCCCCAGGTCTCCTTGGTCTCCTGGTCCTTGCCTGGGGCTTGCTGGGTGCACAGACCCAAATGGCATCAGCAGGACTTGGGTGTACTGAATCTCTAGGTTATGTGCTCTCCTCAATCAGGTTTCCTTTCAGTAGCTCTAGATTCTACCCTCCAGCTTGCAGCCCAGCACCAAAGGGAGAGGTCCTCTCCCAGTAATGTAACAGAAATCCTGTTGTTCTGTCTCATTGGTTCTGACAGGATCATGTGCCCATCCTAAGCTAATCACTGTGCAGCAAGATACTGTGCTCTGATTGGTTGCACTTAAGTGATACTGCCACCCTAGGAGCTAGGGGTAGAGCTAACACTAAGCAAAATGCTTGCACTGACAGGGAGGAGGGTGGTTTCCATTTCCAGAAAGGAGGGGCACAGTAGTACATGACCAAAAATATATGTCCACCACCAGTGAGCACTCATGGTGAGGAATGCTACATCCCTGTTGAGCAAAGGAGATGCATTTTGCTAAACTTCTGAGTCTGCTGGAGACATCTGGGTGTGGTCTTGTGTTATGCATTGAATTATATTCCCCACAGTTCATATGTTGAAGTCCTAATCCCAGTACCCCAGAATGTGACTGTCATTGGAGAAGGGTCTTTAAAGTGGTTAAATTAAAGTCAGGCTGTCTTGGTGGGTTCTAATCCAATCTGATTGGAGCCCTTATAAGAAGAAGGGATTAGGACACAGAAGGACACCAGGGAGGCAGGTGACTAGAGGAAAGACTATCAGAGGACACAGCAAGAAAGTGGCTGCCTACAAGCCAAGGTAAGGCCTCAGAGAAACTAACCCTGTTGAGAATTTGGTCTTGGATTTCTGGCCTCTAGAACTGTGGATTAGTTTATGTTGTTTAAGCCACTTAGTCTGTTGCATTTGTCATGGAAGTCCCAGAAAACTAATATACTGTGAGTCTGCAGCCATCACCAAGTATGGCTACCTTCACAGCATCCTCTGTTCTTAGTTCTCATGTGGTATGGGTTGGAGAGGGCAAGGCTATGACCTCAGTCACAACTTGTCTTTTCTGTCCCAGTAACTGTGTTTAAGGGTGAGGACAAGTTCAAAGACTAAAATGGTTATTTGAGAACACTGGCTTTCAAATGTTCTGTGCCATGACCTATTATAGAAAAAGAAATGGTAGATGTTATAACCCAACACACACATATGTACGTATCACAGAACTGAGCAAAAATTTAGGAAATAAGATGCACCCTTTCTATATGTCTTGACATTGGTATTTCCTATTGTATTCTAGTTAATTTAAAATTTTCTGGTTATGAACCACTAAATTGTTATCATAATGCCATTTGAAAAAATACCTTTCAGACTATATTAATATCATTTTGCTTTCCTCCCAGTACATCTTCAGAAGAGGCTGCTGTGTCCTGAGTCTTCAAAGTTCTTTATCCCCTCACACAGCTGTATTTGTCATAACATTTCTCACCACCTGGCATGAAATATTCCTTTGTCAGCCTTAATGCTGTTCTCTCCCTTAGAATGAAGCCTGTCTAAGGGTGAAAGTTCTGTCTGGTTTTTTTTTTCTGCCATTTCCCCAGCACCAAAGCAATGCCCGAAACATAGGGAGTTTGGTCAAGAGCTATTGGTGTAAACAGTGAATGAATGAACAAAGTACAGGCTCCTGGACTGGATGACACTGTGAATAACAGTCAGCCATCAGGAAAGTTATCATCTTGCTTGTCAGGTGATAACTGTAGCTCAATTCCCAACACCTCCCTCCACCCTCACACCCTTGTGCCACCTCAGTCCATGGAAATTGAGATTCACTGACTTCTTCTGGCACTGTGCCAGCCTGGCAGGACAGTCTCCCAGAGCAGTCCTGGCTCCTTGCCCCTTTGACAAGCTTTTAGCCCTGTCACTCATCACATGGAGCTCCTTCCTATATCCTCAGCCCCAAAGCTGGAATCCTTACCATGTCTAAGCCAGCTCTCTCTTGCCCCTGTGTTGCTACATGTGGTGGTGGGGGGGTGCTAGTCAGAAGAAGGGTTCTGACATTTAGAGAGTACTGTAAGCCAAGGTTGCCATAGTGAAGCAGCTGACATCCTTGCTGCACCCTCTAGTCCAATCCTGTATATGGCTTATGTGGACAGGATAGGGTGGCTTCCAGCTGCAGGATTAGTCTATTCTCAGCAGGTTCCATGGAGCAGAGTAGGCCTCAGTTTTGGAATCATATGGAACTGGGTCCAAACCCTGCCTGATTTTGTTAGTCATGACGTGCATGACTGGGTACATTATCTCTCTGAGCTTCAGCTTTTTCATTTGCAAAATGGAAATAATAGTTCCCTTGCAAAGCTGCTGTAAGGGTGGAAGGTGGTTATGCATGTATGATCCCTGGCATGTAGCAACTGCTATTTGCAAGCTCCCTTCTCTGTCCCCCAGAGTTAGGAGTGCTCTATTATTAAACCAAACAAAGACCTAGCTTTCAGTCTTTGGATTCAGACATGAGATGTAATACCTGAGGCCTTAACTGTAGCCTTAGAGGTGGTGGAAACTGTGGGCCATGTCCATTGAAGGCAACTGGGAGTCTGAGTAAGACTCAGCCCAATCTTCTTATGGGCTCACTCATCCCATGGTTCAGAGGCCCAGTCCTGTCTCTTGATGCTCCATTGGTGACTCCCTGTGCTTGTCCAGTTTCTGACTGACCTCACCTATCCCCTACCTTATCCTGATCCCATCCTCACCTCTGGCTCCTCCCCCAGATCCTGCCCCATCTCAACCTCTCCCACTGCCCGGTGGATCAGAATTGTTCTGAGACACTCTCTGATGCTCCCACGTGGCTCCCAATGGCAGGTCTTTTTCCTTTCTCTTGTTCATATACAGAGGCAACAGATTACACAAACCCATTCATTTGCACATCCACTTACTCAGTCCTAATTTATGCAGGGCCTGGTCCATGCTTGGCATCATCTAAGCCTATGTCAACCCTGCAGAGCCAGGGTAATTTCCATTCACAATTGAGAAAAATTGTGCCTCTGTGAGGTTAGGTAAGCTGGTGAGAGCAGCAAGGACTCACTTCTGGGGCCTTGCTTCCTTACCCTCCTGGCACTGTGGTGGGCACATCAGAGGATGTTAGGGGAAACTCAGAGAGGAGAGCCCCACCATTTGAGTGCATAGGATGAGAAGGCTGGCTATGCAGAGAGCTGCAGATATTCCACTGCTGCCCTGCCTACAGGGGTTCTGAGACTGAGCGGTGTTTCTAGTCTGGTCCAGGAGGAACTTATTGTGCCCTCCTAAGGGACTTGCATTTTGTTTGATAAACGGTTCTGGTGGTGGAAAAAAAGAATTTGGAAATCACTGTAGTAGAAGATTGGGAGCCACTGATGAATTCTAAGCAGGAAAGTGTCATGATTACATTTGCATTTTAAAAAGACAGACAAAGACAATTTGGTATAAAAATAAATCTCAATCACATCATTGTAGCAGAGCAGCTTTCTTCTGGGTGCCTTCTCCTGCAGCCTTTGATCACTTGCAGAGAATTTATACAGTTGTAAACACTGCCACATTTCATTTGCATTCTGCTTTCTCACTTGATGACACATGTCTTCCTGTGGCTTCCTAATGATCATTTGGAATAGCTATGTGTTACCCCACGGCAAGGTTGGATCTCCACTCACCAGTATGAGTACTATATCAGGTATCATCTAGAAGTGTCATGTAAGTTATAACTACTGTTATTATTATTTCAGCTGTTTTCTGATTTTCCTTTTTTTATAAATGACATAGTAATAAATGTTTGTGCTAGAATTATTTTAGTTCCATGTTGACTTCTTCTCTTGGACATATTCCAAGCAATGAGATGCTGGGTCAAAGGTCTTAAACACTTAAAAAAAAGTTTACTAGTTTTAAGTTCACAGCAAAATTGAAGGGAAGGTACAGTGAGTTCCCAAATTCTACTTGCCCCCACTACAGCCTTCCCCATTTTCAGCACCCCCCAAAAGAGTGGCACATTTGTTACAATGATGAACCTACATAGACACATCATAATCACCCAAAATCCATAGTTAACATTAGGATTTTTTCTTGATGCTCTATATTCTATGGATTTGGAAAAATTTATAATGACATATATCTACTATTATAGTATCATACAGAGTAGTTTCACTGCCTTAAAAATCCTCTGTGCTCCACTTAATTGTACCTCCTCCCACCAATCCCTGGTAACCACAGATCTTTTTACTGTCTTTACAGTTTTGTCTTTTCCATGTCATATATTTGGAATCCTACAGTATTGAGTCTTTGCAGATTGGCTTCTTTCACTTAATAATATGCATTTAGCTTTCCTCTATGTCTTTTCATGGCTTGATAACTAATTTCTCCACACTTGATCTTAGCCAAAAGGCCGAGAAGCGATGATAACTAATTTCTTCTTAGCACTGAATAATATTTTACTGTCTGGATGGACCACAGTTTATTTATCCATCACCTACTGAAGAGCATCTTTTGTTTCAAGTTTTGGAAATTGTGAATAAAGCTGCTATAAACATTCACATGGAGGTTTCTGTGTGGAGATGTTTTTAACTCCCTTGGGTAAATACCAAAGAGCATGATTGCTGGATTGTATGGTAAGAGCATGTTTAGTTTTGTAAGAAACTGCCAATCTGTCTTCCAAAGTGGTTGTATCATTTTGCATTCCCATCACTGATGTTGCTCTAAACTTGTCAATACTTGATGTTGTCCATATTCTGGATTTTGGCCATTCTAATAGAAATCTGAATGCTTTTTTATGCACTAGATTACTGAGCAATTTCTTTTCCTTTATGTTTCCGAGCTGAGCTCAGAGCTGGCATGAACCAGTCGTAGGCTGGATGATTCTTAGTCTATGGCCACATAGGACAAGCCTGTGCCATGTCAGGAGCATGGGGATGTAGTAGACACTGCAGTTCTTTCAGATCCCCTTATTTGGTCAACTTGCCCACCCCCTCATCTGGGAGTTCAGATGCTCTTGACTCCCAGCTGTCTTCCTCTGGGGTAGTTGGATAGTTGCCCTCAGCTGTAGGGAAATATTTTGCCTAAGGTTGGGCTGGAAGGGGCTGCCTGAGACCAAGAGGTCTGATTCAGGAACACAAGGGCAGGATCACCTTCACCCTCTGTCAAGTCCTGCCTCTCTCATTTTTTACAAGGGACCCCAAGACCTCTCCTCCAAAACTGCATACCCATCTCTGGCCCTGATGTGGAGTCCACATCAGAGACTCCAGCATCAGGCAGGGGTGATGCCTCTACTAGCCACTCCTGCTGGAGCTTCAGCTTCAGGTTCTCTGAGGAGCCAACTTGATGAAGAGTGAGGCCTGGCACAGGGTGGAGCTGTCAGATATTTTCTTGTTCCTGGGTCAACTTCTTGATCACCTGCTTTTAGAGAGATAGTGTCATAACCAAGACCTTTCCTTACAAAGAGGGGACAGTGCACTAGGAGCACACATGCAGAGAAATGATAAATGAATAAAAAGAAACAAAGTTTCAGAACCAGGGTTTTTCTGTCCTGAAAAAAATTTCATCATGGAATGTGTAAGGGCTTGGATGACCAAATCTTGTTTCTGTCACTTACAAGTGGTGTTACTATTGAGTGGCTTCCCTCCTTGTCCATTGTGTTCATCTTGTGTCAGTAATAATGCTGTCTCTATGAGATTACTGTGAGAATCAAAAGAACTAGTGGTTCTGAGGACCAACTGGCTTACAGAATGGGCTCAAAAATGATGGTTCTTCTCTTCTCTCCCTTCCATTTACATCATATGATGTGATGCAGCTTCTATATAGTAGAAAAAAGATGTACCAGGTGGGGTTTTTGAAGGAACATCCTAGCTCTGAAGCCCTAACCTGGGTTTTGACTGCAGGCAGACTTCTGTTCTTCTTAGAGTTCCATAGAAGCTATTCCCATGGGCCCCCCCTTTTTTCCTGCATCTTATTTTTAGCAGGTGGAAACCAAAGCCTATTTCCACATTGAAGATTACATCTTAGCAAGTCTGATTGAGAAGATGACTGCTCTCAAGGTCCAGGCCCAAGTCTCAGAGATGCACCGCCTCAGTCCTGTGCTCTGGGGAGAGGAGGCTGAGCTGGAGTTCTTGAAGGTGAGGCCCTGGTACCCCTGGAAGAAGTGTTGATGTTCAAGGGCACACAGTCAGCAACCCACTCTAAGGCCTTTCTTGTCAGTTAAATGTGCTCAGACCCAAGAGGAGTTACAAGCAAGGGTTCTGAGGCTTGGGGAGGAAGGAAGCTCCATTGCCCACCTGGCAAAGAGAAGCTTCTGGAAGCAGATGGCATTGGAAGTGATCCCAAAAGATGGATATGAATTAGTGGGCTGGGGTGGATATGTATGTCAGGGCCTTTCTTCAATCTCTCTCCTGAGACAGTCTTAGAGCTCACAGTCACTTTTCTGTGAGTGGAGAGATCACATCTCTTATAGATGACATACAAGAAAACTGAGGTACAAAATCGGGTGGTGAGCCAAAAACAAAGCCATTGGAAGACCTCCAGTTTTCAGACTTCCAGAAAACTGTCCTTAGCACAGCACAGATAGTGTGGTCCATGCATATGGGTGCATCTCTGGTCCACTCTTTCCTCAGCCCTTGAGCCAAAGGAGCAGCATTTTAGGTTCCATGTTGGTGGGCACATACAGAGCTTGCAATGAGTAGACTTTGCTCACTCTTAGACTTATACCTTCTTGAGCCAGGCACTGTGGGCAGTGGAAAATACAATACACGCTCCCTGCCCTCCAAGGAGTCCCAAGTCTCCTGGGGAGTACAGACAGGTACCCTGAGGCATGTAATACTGTGATAACTACCCCATGAGAATGACAGCAATAGCAGTTACTCTCTCTCAGGGTGGGAGGGAGTGACTACTCTGCCTGTGGAGGTAGAGCTGTCAGGCATGTGGGAGGAGTCCCCTCACCCCCGCCCAGCCTCAAGCCTTTTCCAGGGCAGGATACCTGGCTTGGCCTTTAGAATCAGAAGCAGTTAAAAAAGGAAGTTTGAAGACTTATGCATTTCTCTGTACAAAGTCTCCTGAGACAGATAGAAATATTCTGTTATTGTTTTTTGCCTTTAATAAAGACAGGCATTAGAAAGCTGAACTGCTGAGGGGAGGTGTGGCCTTTTCTTTTTGGTGGGTCACTTAGCAGAACTGTTTGTAGCACCCAGCATGGTGTAAACCTGCAAACATTTTTCATTTGAGAAGCCCTGTCAGAAAGGTGCTTGCTGCATTCCAGAATCTAGCATTCATGTGTGCTCCTTGTCAAGAGGATGCAGCATCCCCTTGGCAAAAGGCAAGTGGGAACTGCAAAGCCATCAGCACACATTTGGTGGAGAGTGGCCACAGAGCCATGGAGCCAGTAGAGATACCAAGGCCTCAGGCCCACAGAGGCCCTGTAGGACTGACAATGCCCACCCGCCTCTGCTCAGGCCTGGCTTTGTGGCTTGACAAAGTCAACATTTCATAAGAAAAGCCCTGACAGATTTGATTTCACTTGCATGCAATTTTATCAGTTTCCAGCTAACTTTTTGAAGTTCTCCTTTGTTGGGCTTGCTAATATGTGCCACCTGAGGTACAGAGGCATGACCCAGTGGGTTTGGTAGCTCAGAGCACATTGTGACCCTTTCTGTTAGAGTGAATGTTTGTTAAACAAAGTCTTACCCCACGACTGTAAAAGCAATGATTTGTTTCTAATTATGCCTCGCTGTAGATAGCACAGTTACACTAGAATGTATTTAGTCTTCTTTCTTGTTCTAGGCATTCACAGGTATATGTACATATATATTTAAAATTGGTTTTATATTATATATGCAGTTTTATGTATTTTTATAATCCTATCTCACTAAAATTTGTAAATATTTTAAATCAACATACGTACCCTAAATTTTTTTCTCAATAAGATTGAATATGGGACTATTTAAAACAATACTGAGATTAGTACTTCTTTTTTACATAAGTCTTTAGCTACATTTCTGCTTAATTCCTTAGGAATAGAATCTCATGAATGCACTTACAGGACTGAAGATTATGAAAACTGTAAACATTTAAACATGCTAAGACACTTTATGTTACAGTTATTTCTGTACATTTTTTGTTCTCTCTACTAGGTTGTAAATGTCCACAGGGCCCGTCTCAGAGCCTAGTTGCTCTATAAACAGGCATTGGATTATTTAATTACAGCTCCTCCAGGCTCGCTTTTCCATTATCAGATTGTGCCTGTTGGCATGCTGTTCACTGATGACTAATTCTGCTAGTTCATCATCTCACACTAGAAGGAGACTTGGCAGCAGTCAAGTTTGGGTAATGCTGAATAATATACTCTGTCTGGAAGATTCACAACTACATTAGTGTATTAATCCCAGAACAACCTGTTCAAGGTTAATTCAGTGTTTTCTAAAGTTCCTCAATCATGGGACCATGAAATCATACTGGTTGTATCTTGTATTTTCCTCCACTTAGCATTATAACATATGCATTCCCCAGATAATTACAAATGCTTTATGAATATCCTATGTTAAAATTGCCTGATAATACCTTTTAAGGCAGTACTGACTTTAGTAAATCACTGACCTATGGGAGCTGATCCTCCCAACTTAATCTTGTAAGTCTGTACTGAAAATTTCTATGATAAGAGTTTATACTGATTTCATATTATATTTTCTTAGGACAGAGTTGCAGGAGTGGAGTTGTTACAGAAGAAACTCCCAGAAACTCAGTTCTTCTCACAGATGCAGTAGAAAAATCACAGATCAGTGAATCTATTAACACACAAGCAGGGTTTATTGGTCATCCATTCTCATCATGACAACAGCCTAGCTAAATCGGTGGGGGGTGGGGGTGGAGCTCAGTGAAAGTCATAGACAAAGCAGTGTTAGGGTGGCTGAAGCAAGGGTGGCCAAAGGCCATGGCGTACTGTGTGGCCAGAGGCGGGGTGGCCAGAGAGCCAAGAGAGAGAGTCCTTCATTCTGAGAGCTTATATAGTTGGCGGGATGGGGTGAAGAAGTTACATACTGATTGACAGGTAGATGTGGTGCCAGCTTTCCTGGGCAGATGTGACTACCCAAACTTAGGTATGTGTGGGGTCTGTTAGCCCAAATCCTCTTCTTGCTCCAGGTCCCATTTGTACATCCTGTTGTAAGACAGATATGTGACTGGAGGCAGTTAATTAAAGTTGGGGCAGGTACCCAAAGGGCTTTTTCTTTAAGCATTAGGCACTCCCTTGTAAAACAGATAGTTACCAGCTGTAGGCAATTAACTAAAGTTGTTGTATGGGCTTCTTCCCTTGGGCACTGTAGACCCTCTTCTGCCTTTTGGCCTTGAGGTAAAAGCACAGTTTCAAGACTTTCCCCAATAGTGGAAACAATACACAGAATTTCAAAGGTTTCCCTCCTCCTGTTTTAGCATGGTGTTTCTTATGATGTTGTCACATCTGGTAATATTATTGGACCAGGCTCAGGACTGCTAAGTTTGTGGGTGAGACATGTCTCTTTCCTCCTTCCTGTCTTGGTTTGCCATCTATTCTACCTAACAGAATTATAGAATCAAAGTGTATGAACTGTGAATCTCTTGATGAATAGCTGGAAATAACCCATTTGTTCTGCCAGTTTTCAGTACAGAGAGGGTGCTATGTGGGCTGGGAGCCAGGAGAGCCTGGGTCCAGTCTCAACTTTGCTGCCCTATTTAGGGAGAAGGGGAAAAGAATGAGGTGGCCCTAAGTACATGGAGATGAAATGACCCTCTGAGAGGAAAGTCAGGGGTAGCAACACAGGAGGAACCAGGAGAGATGGTACTGAAGACTCCTTAGCAGAGCACGGAGACATAGATAATGTTATCTTTTTTAATTTTTACTTTTACAAATTGAAAATGCCCTTGACAATCTTATATATTATCAACCATGTTTCCAGTCTTTATAGCACTGTACTTGTGTTGGTAAGTGTGAAGACATAGAAGCAAATAGACTCATGTTTCCATTCTTGGCCCCCAGTGGGAACTTTGCAGATTACTCAATCCTTAACCCTTCTGTGCTTGTATAGAATAATGCCTGGGGACATACCTAGAATGGTGCTTTATATATTTCAGTAGCTTATCCCCCTCTATGTAATTAAAAATAAAATTAATAATTTATATTAAACAATTAAAAATGTAAGCAAGCCTTTCAAAGGCATCTTTATTATGATGAGTTCCTTTTCTTGCCTTACATTATTTTTTTAAAGAAATATCACATCAAATACTTTTAAAGAATTTATCTAATTGTTTTGGAGTGAACTTGACTTGTCATACCTCAAGCACATATCTAGTCTGGCCATTGGCTATTTCCACACCAGTGGTTAATAAATATTGTTTTGCATGATGGTGATGGAGATGATGATGATGGTGATAATGATAATGACAAGGATAACAAAGTCTCTCCAGAGTTAAAAGAAGGAGGCTCAGGGTCCAGAACTTTCATAAGATTATATGAAGAGCTGTAGACTCTGTATGCAGCAGAATTTATGTGTAGAGATTGTTGATTCACAAAAGGAGAGAGGTTGGCAAGGAGCATGAGAAAGGAGCTCTCGAAAGCCACAATTTGTCCCTGTGTTTGTGACCCTGCCTGGGGGTGACAGAGATGGGACAAGACACAGTGCTCTCTGCTTGGTGGTTAGAGATAGGAAACCAGATTTCACCACTGAAACCATTCTGAGAGGTTTTCAAATACCTGGGGCAAAATGTTCCTGCTGTGAGTCCAGGTGCATCAAACTTCTGAAGAGAATTGGAGTCATCCAGGGGAAGATGAGGATTGTAGAGAGCAAGGTAGAGACATAATTAAAAACATTTCTGTTAGGTTTATACTCAAGTCTTTTAAGAATTTGGTTGGCCTGAGCAGTGCCAGCTTTGAATGACACTCAGACCCCTGACAAAATTCAGCCTCCTAACCTGGTAAACTGGCAAACAGTACAGACCTTGGACTGGGGGGCACCACACTGAGGCACTGCCACATGGTAAGAAATACCAGTGATTCCTCATTTTCTCTGCAGGATGTTAATGGCTCATCATGCTTTAATGGTGATGTCAACCATTTGGACAGTGGCTTTCTGTAGCTGGGCCTTATTTTTTTCTGTCTGTAAAGTGAATGGGTTGGACCAGATAATACTACAGTTGACTTTGATGCAAATAGAAAAGGAATTCCTTATGGTGAGATTATCCAGAAGAGTCTGAATTCTAAAAACTTGTCCACAATACTATTATGCCATTGTACCATTTTCATAATAACTGTATTCTAGGTGTTGTTTTAAAAAGGTATTCCATGAAAAAAGGATTCCTTGGATTAAAAAAAATAGAAAAATGTTATCATATCAGAAGTGCAAGAGAGATTCTGGAGTAAGGAGATCTATTTAGCTCAGTATTTCCTAAACTTATTTGGCAAGCCTATCCTGCCCTTCTTTCTTTCTTTTTTAAAAAAGAACATCTATTAAGGTGTTTTATAGAATTTCTTGAAGCCCTTTATTTAGACCAGTGTGCCTATCTCTTCTAAACTGACCTTTTTCTTGCTCCAGGTCACTCAGCAGCTCCTGGAATACGGTGTCTTGGTCCACCAAGTTCTTCCAGAGAAGACAAGGCTTGGAGGGGAAGTGGCCTTGGGGATCTGTGCCAAGGGTCTCATAATATATGAAGTGAAAAACAATAGCAGGATTGCAACTTTACAATTTCAGTGGAGAGAAGTTGGAAAGATTTCAATTTATGTGAGTGTAGCTCAGCTGGGAAATGACCAATGCTTCATTTTTCTTTGATCTGTTGCCTTTAAAGGAGCAATGAATCGGTCATGTAATCTTCTGACAAGAGGAGCTCATAGCCTGCCAGCTAACCTGCACTTGGATACACTGTGGCATATTTATAGGAAGGACACCAGGGGATTTGAAAGTTGTCAGGAGGCCATTTCTTCTCTATAGGCTCTCACCCAGTCCTGCCCTGCCCCGCCCCCCCCCCCCCCCACACACACACACACCGGCCGCCCTTACACACACACACACACCCACTCCTATGGTCAGCCATCAGCCTAAAGGGCTACACTTTCATTCTGGGTAAAGTTCTGTTAATGTGGGGAATCCACTGATGTTGAGAGCAAGGCTGGAGGTGGGAGACGGGAGAGGAGGGCATATTGTAGGTGCAGTGGAGTCCACAAGGTTTTAAAACATTTGCCTTTTGTTTTAATTTTCTCTTCACACACTGTGTGCTGAGGACCCCCTGACCTGTCTCCCATGGGCTACAGGTGTACTGCAGGACACTGGTCACTGCAAACCTTTGACACCCGTCAAAAATCTTCAAAGCCTTCTTTTTAAAACCAAAAAAATCCTTAGTAAACACATAACATTTGAAATTGTATCTGAACACCATTTACATGAGTATATATACCTCCTGGATTTAGTTACAGTAAATTTGGCACCAAAGAACATTGTGTGCCCCCCTGCAGGGAGTGCTCTGGCGTCCAACTTGCCTGCAGCCCTGGGGGCCATCCCACTTCAGCAACGACTTCACTATAAGACATGAAATTCTTCATCTTGTGGCCCTTAAAGAAATTGAGTTCTCTTTTATTTAATTTTCTTTTATGTTTTTAAAATATTTCTTTCTGACTAGATTGCTGTTTTTATTATCATAATCTGATGTTAGAGTTTCCTAAGTAGAATGTAATTGATTAATTTATTTTCTCAGTGTTTCTTTTGTTTCTTTCATCTTAGCTGTTGAAGTAACATATTATTAAAATATGATTCTTGATATAATTTTATAATCAATTATTGGTTGTCTTTATGAAAAGAGCTTACATTCACAAGTAAATAATAACAGCATAATCTAATTGAATTTATTAAAGTGGCCTTTATACTATTAGGAAAATGACTTTTTCCCAAATATTTTTTACAACACTAAAAATAAACATTTATATTTGGGGATTGTTCAGAACTTTAAAGATATATTACTTTAATTTGTTTGAAAGATTATTTAAAGAATTTTTATTATTGAATTAATTCAATATTATTGCATTATTCCCTCTTTTCTTTACATCATATCATGTTTGTTACATTTAAAACAGTAATCTGTTTTAAAATAAATCTGTGAAAATGCAGGTAACGTAAAAACTAATTTTGAAAAAAAGAATTTTTTAAGTCATAAAGTTTAAGAGTTTCTGTAAGTAATACTTTATGTTTCAGTTGGTTTAATTTTTATAGATACTTATTTTCCCCACAACCAAGGATGATTTCTTGATTGCAGCTGAGAAGTGCACCAGGTGCACCAGACAAACTTAGGAGCTTGAATAAAAACATTGCTACTAATTAGTATTCCCATGCCCTAATGACCATCCTCTTTCTCAGCATGAATGTCTTTTGTTAAAGTCATCAGGTAAAATAGTTTCACCAGCTGCTTGCCACACACCAGGTATCTTACACAGAAAATGACTTGGACTCTTCATATTTCTGCAAACACAAAATGGGGAACTCTGTGAACAATAGGAAAATGAGTTCAGGAAGCTGGTTTGAAATTTGCTTGATTAACAGTGGAAGCCAAAATGCTTCAAACAATCACAGATCATTCATCTTGCTATCCTACAGGGAAGTAGCAAAGGAAATAGGGAAAATGCCCTTTGGAAGAGTGTGGTTTGTAGGTGTATTGGCAGTCTACTTATGACACAGACAACACAATTCAGAAGATCATTCAATTGAGAAAGTGTTCATTGTAGAGTGCTGCTAGTAACTGTTCTTGGTTATTAGCAATAGCTAAAATATCTGAAGAGAAAATATGGGCTTTGTAGACCTCTCTCTAAGAAAAAGAATACAAAGTTCAAAATGCTACAATATACAAGTGAATATTTACTTAGAATGAGAAAATAAAATACCACAATTTGTAAATTTAAAACAGCTGAGCTGATACTGCAGAACTACAAAAGCCAAAAAATAATATATTAACTCCCTGAAAAACTCTATAATTCTTCTTTTTCTTTTAAGTGTTCATTGGCATACACTCTGATTACATTTTTTAAAATATTTTATTTATTTATTTTTAGAGAGAGGGGAAGGGAGAAAGAGAGGGACAGAAACATCAATGTGTGGTTGCCACTCATGCACCACCTAGTGGGGGCCTGGCCTGCAACCCATGCATATGCCCTGACTGGGAACCGAACTGGTGGCCCCTTGCTTTGCAATCTGGTGTTCAGTCCACTGAGCCACACGGGCCAGGGCAGATTACATTTTAATATGATGACACATTTGTAATACCATTTTTTCCTAGAGAAAATAGAAATATAATTTAGTCTTCCTTTTAGCATGGCTGATCAAAGATTGTTTTTATTTTTGATGCATAATACACACAGATTTGCAGAGATATAGGTACTCTTTGTAGTGCTGCCAAATGTTTCTATGCTAGAATTATAGAAATCTAATAACTTCCATTTCATGAGATTGCCATCCAAAAAGAAAAATATTGTGTAGTGTATTGATAATGCAGTATATAAAGTTAATAAGGTATACCCTTGCCAGGACAGAACTTTTACTTGATTGAGTGCTTTTGAGAACTAAATTACAGTTTATCATTCTGACAATTGGACAAATTTCCTGTGGACTGGCCTCTGGCTCTGTACCTTTCAAGCCTGGTTCCCTTCCAATGCTGCCCTGGCTGCTTCTGGTGCTGCGTATTGTGGAGCACAGTCAATGCCATATGGCTACTGGCCTGATATTGTTATTCTGAGACTTTGAGTGTGTTGGCCTAATGGAAGGAGTATTCTGGAATGGCTAGCAATAAATTATTGCAGAACAGACTGCAAATCACATAAATAAATCCCAGTAAATCTACACAGTACATTCTCATCTTAACTTCTCCTTAGTGGGATCTGCTTCCACACCACATACCACCTGTGGTGAGAAGTGGGAATGAGCTGGAGTGGAAGTCAATAGTCAACTGATTCTGGTGAAAGCATATTTTCCCCATGTTTTACAAGAAAGCATGGAGACTTTGCCAGGGTTTCTCCTAGGAAGTGACCTACTCAAGTGAAGGGCCCAGGAGCTTCAGCTTCATTAGCTTCATGGCAAATCCTCCTCTTCCTGGGAGAATATCATTGTTCTACAAAGGTGTATCAGAGCAACCAAACTAGAGTATGAATAAGCAGCAACAGTAAAACTACTAGGGATGAAATTTTTTAAATAGTAAAGCAATGCGTTGAAACAAATAAGATGCTATGGAAGTACTAGCATGTTTGTACTCCAACCACAGAGGTGTAAATAAATTCTCCATGTTTATGCTGAAAGCCCTGAGGTTTAGGCTATATATCATTTTATTCACAGAGCAGTTGTCCCTTGAGAAAATTTGCCTGCAAATATAGATTTCTCATTAAATGACATTATCAAGATGGAAAAAATCCAAACCATACACTCAAGACTGTTTTCAGCTTTATGCCAAGAAATGCAATCAGAATTTCATTCTTTTGGGTGTTTAATACCTAGACAAACCACTGATATCCAAAAGGAAACTTTGGTTGAGAGTTTATGAGCTGAAAGATTGAGGTGTGTGTGTGCATATGTATGTAAGAATGATTTTCTCTTTTCAGATTTGTTATAGAATAGCAATTACATTTGTAAAATTGACTTATCTATTTTTTCTTTTATATATATATTTTATTGATTATGCTATTACAGTTGTCCCACTTTTTTCCCCTTTATTCCCTTCTGCCCTGTACTCCACCCCCACCATCATTCCCCAGCCTTAGTTCATGTCCATAGTTCATACATATAAGTTCTTTGTCTTCTCCATTTCCCATATTATTCTTAACCTCCCCATCTATTTTGTAGCTATCATTTATGCTTCTTCCCTGTACCTTTTCTCCCATTCTTCTCCACCCCTTCCCTGCTGATAACCCTCCATGTAATCTCTGTTTCTGTGAATCTGTTCCTGTTCTAGATGTTTGCTTAGCTTGTTTTTGTTTTCTTTTTTTTTTTAGGTTCAGTCATTGATAGTTGTGTGTTGTCATTTTACTGTTCATATTTTTTTTATCTTCTTTTTCTTAGATAAGTCCCTTTACCATTTCATATAATAAGGGCTTGATGATGATGAACTTCTTTAACTTGACCTTATCTGGGAAGCACTTTATCTGCCCTCCCATTCTAAATGATAGCTTTGCTGGAGAGAGTAACCTGGGATGTAGGTCCTTGCCTTTCGTGACTTTTAATACTTCTTTCCAGCCCCTTCTTGCCTGCAAAGTTTCTTTTGAGAAATTGGCTGATAGTCTTATGGGAACTCCTTTGTAGGTAACTGTCTTCTTTTCTCTTGCCTGCTTTGAAGATTCTCCCCTTATCTTTAATCTTGGGTAATGTAATTATGACGTGCCTTGGTATGTACTTCCTTGGGTACAACTTCTTTGGGACTCTCTGAGCTTCCTGGACTTCCTGGAAGTCTATTTCCTTTGCCAGATTAGGGAAGTTTTCCTTCATTGTGTTTTCAAATAAGTTTTCAATTTCTTGGTCTTCCTGTTCTCCCTCTGGCACTCCTATGATTCAGATGTTGGAACGTTTAAAATTGTTCCAGAAGTTCCTAAGGCTCTCCTCATTTTTTTTTAGTTCTTGTTTCTTCATGATGTTCTGGCTGAATGTTTATTTCTTCTTTCTGGTCTAAAATGTTGATTTGAGTCTCAGTTTCCTTCCTTTCACTGTTGATCCCTGTACATTTTCCTTTATTTCACTTTTCATAGCCTTCACTTTTCCCTCTACTTTGTGACCATATTCAACCATTTCTGTGAGCATCCTGAGTACCAGTGTTTTCAACTCTGCATCTGATAGGTTGGCTATCTCTTCATCACTTAAAATCAGTTGTATTTTTTCTGGAACTTTGATCTGTTCTTTAATTTAGGTCATATTTGTTTGTCTGGATGCACCTGACTTATCTAAAAATTTTTAACACCTGAGTGAACTTGTATAAACTTATCAGGATTCCATGAAAGCATATCAATAACTTACTGACAAGGTAGATAAATTCCAGGCAAATATTCAACTTCAATAAAGTGTGAATAAAATGATTCACTATGAGAGTTTAGGCATTATTATAATTTGAATATAAGGAAAAATTATTAAGGCTAGTAGGACAGCATCTATCGATGTTTGAGAAAATATATTATTAAAAATTGTAGATATAGTATAGTTCAATTGGATTCAAAATCTATTTATTAGTACAGTAATGTTCAACATTATAATTATTAATAAAAAAGAATATTTAGAGAATGCTCAAATTATCTAAAATTAGATTAATGATAAAAAGGAATTTCTGGGAGAAAATATGATGAATCTGCCTTTTGTTAATATGACTTGTGTGAATGAGGTTCCTTAGAAAAGGTGACCATCATTGATCAAAAAGAACCAACATTAAAGAGGATCAGGAGTTTCAGAGAGCCCTTTCAAGCAAAAAACCTTATATTTACTAAGTTATCTTCATAGGAGCAACTCAAGGTTATTATAGAAATATCTAGAAAAGCAAGTATATAGATTTTATTTGGACATTATATATAAATTTATAATTCATGTAATCTCTATTACTTTGTATTTTATTAGTCTTCTTAGAATTATACATTATAAAAAGTTATGAAATTTGCCCAGAAAGCTCCATAGAGATAAACCCATACAGATAATCCTCTCCAGTTTATCTCAAGGAGCTGTACAAATATCAGTTTGTATGTGGGCCATGAGGGTATAAATATGGGGGAAGTGTTTTGTGGTTGTGTAACCTCAATTCCTGCTGCATTTTCAAAACTGGTGGTCTGTTATCTAATCAGTAGAGTAAGGATCATATTAGAACTTCCCTCATTCTGGAGCTTTCAGGGGGAAATAAATTAATACCCAGAGAACAGTTAGAACAGAGCTGGGCTCATAATTGTAAGAAATATGAAAATATATACAGTGCTTTTATCTTTTCTATGAGCCCACTAGTTGAGATTTTGCCTGCAACTTCTGGGAATTTGTACAATGAAAACTATTTTTATATTTAATAGCCTTCAAAATGTACACTGAGGATTATGTTCACTCTTTGCTCAGGGTCAAGTGTACATGTACCTGTCTCAATTTATATTCTATTCACCTAGCATACGTTGGTGGATAGAAATTACCCAATAAGCAAATGTCCCATTTATGAATGAAGGAAAAATAAAAAGAGGGGTTTTCCTTAGTCAGAGAAAAATTATTGAGCCATGGTCAGACAACATGTGCGATATACTTCTTATGCCTAGAATGTTGACATTTTACTGGCCCAGCATTTGATTACTTTCTGGACAGTTGTTCTTTATAGATTAATGTCTGTGTTTGCTTCCTTCAGCAAAAGAAGTTCACCATCACAAATAGCATCACTGGAAAAAAGCACACATTTGTCACTGATTCTACCAAGACCTGTAAATGTTTACTGAGCCTGTGCTCTGCCCAATATGGCTGTAATGCTCAAATGAATGCTCCCTGAGTTGCAACTGGTGAGTAGACACTATGTTTTCAGTCTTCAGAGATTTGGCTTTGGGTGATGGGTTTATCACATTTCCTGTTGATCTCTAATCATCATTTCTTATTGCAAAAAGCAGGATTTCCTTCTTTTTAATGGCTGAATAATATTCCATTATATATGTAACCACAGTTTCTTTTTCCATTCATCTGTTGATGGAAACTTAGTTTGTTTCTATATCTTGGATATTGTGAATAATGCTGCAGTGAACATGGGAGTGTAGAGATTTCTTTAATAGCTTCTTTTCACTTCCTTCAAGTTCATACCCAGAAGTAAAATTGCTGAGTCATATGGTAGTTCTATTTTTAATTTTTTGAGGAACCTCCATACTCTTTTCCATAGTAACTGTACCAAATTACACCCCCCCCAGGGCAAGGGCTCCTTTTTGTCCATATCCTCACTAGTTCTTCTTTTGCCTTTTGTTATGATAGCCATCCTAACAGATGTGAGGTGATACCTCATTGTGGTTTTACTCTGCATTTCTCTAATGATTAGTGATGTTGAACATCTTTTCATGTACCTCTTAGACATTTGTATGTTTTCTTTAGAAACATTAAACAATTTTTCTTTGTCTTTTAAAATATTTTTTCATATTAGAAACTCTCTACATATACCGTTTTTGATGCATCCAGGCAAGAATGTGCTGTCTTCCTCTGATGGCCCCACAGACTCCTCACACTCAGTGTATCTGAAATTGACCTCATCCTCCCACACAAATTCCTCTACCTTGGGAGGGTTTGGACCCTTTCTCCTCACTTCATCTGTCACCAAATTCTGGGAGTCATGTGCTCCCAAAGACATCTTACTCTCAGCCTTCAAAGTGGCAAAATGACCAATCCAATCATGTTGTTCCACACTGAAAATTTGTCAGTGGCTCTCTGCTTTCTGTAAGTACAAGCCCAGACTTCATAGGATAGCATGTCAGACTCATGTCATTTGGCCCAGCCCTGACTTAGTCTTGCTATGACTCCTCCACTCTGCTTCTAGCAACACTGCTTGCTGGCTTGCAGACTGCTGAACACACAGGATGTATCAGGTCTAGGGCCTTTGTGTTTAGCATGGCCTCTGCCCACAAAGCTGTTGCTGCCCTCTCCCAGACTCAGACCACCAAGATAAACCCTATTCTTTAAGAATGAGTTCAAGGACAGCCTTTTCTAAAGTTCTCTTGATTCACTACTCTCTTTCCCTCACAAGTGCATATGCTCTTTAGGGCAGGCTCCATCTTTTCAACTGTTTTCTTTGCCCCTTGCATCTGTGGCTCTGCCTGCCTCCAGTCTGCAGGGCAGGGGCAGTATCCCACTGCCTTCACAGCTCCAGCATGGAGCACAGGTGTGTCAAGTGGGAGGTAATTAGTTCAGGGTTGGTTATTTTTTTGAATTAATGGATGATTAATGTGGAACTACAATCATTTGCTTAATCATTTTCCTGTTTTGATTTTAAGTTGCTTTTCATTCTTTAATACTTTAAGCTATATTGCAATAAACATCATTGAAAGAAAATTTTTCTGTATCTTGGAATACCTTTAAGCTAAGTCTTGGAACTGTAATTATTGTGTACAAAGGCTGGGGTATTTTTAAGGTCCTTGCTGTTTTCCCCAGTTCCCATGCCCAGTATTGTTCTGCCCATTTCACTGCAACCTTGCCAGAATAGATAGTATCATGTCTATCTTTGCCTGTTTGATAGGTAAAATGATGTCTCATTTGGCATTTTTTTTGATTGTTTATAAGCTCAACATTTTCCAAATGTTTCTCAGTCATTCTTCAGTGAAATGTGTCAATGAGCATATTACTTTTCAGTTAGTTATATTTGGTGCTCTGGGGAGAGAGAACAATCACCATGTTTTCGCAAGTGCCCAATTTTAGGACTAAATCAGGCAGGCTCAGTCAGCCCCTTTCAGATGGGTGGCAAGGCTGCTGGGATGCTGTTGCTCCTGCAGCTGTGGCTGTAGGACTCTGCACATCTTTAGTGGGCTTCCCAGGATCTGGTCCTGATTCCCTTAACATTTTCTTCATGGCCCCTGGCTTTGGTGGCTCCCGTGCTCTTGAAACACTGTAACTAATCTAGACTATGGAGCTTGTCATCCAAACCAATTGAGACATTTCCTGGTGCTTTCCTGGTGTCACAGTTGTTCTCTGAGTCACCCATGGCCAGTGGACAGAAACCACCCATTCCCCTCAGCAAGCTGGTTGGTAGCTTTGGAATATTCTTGGCAAGACTTCCTTACATTACTAAAAGGTTCTCAACTCTTGGCTTTCCTACCTTAGTAATCAATTCTTCCTTTACTGCTTGTCTAGCCAATCGAACTCCACTAAGCTAGGGCCTAATAATAATAGCACACTCCCCACCAGCACCACCAGCCTTGACTTTGTGCCAGTTGTCTGATGCTAGTTGCATGACATCTGTGTTCTCCTTCCTTGAACTCACTGTGTAGTCTTTGTCCTTCCCAGTGCCCTGATTCTCTTAGGCTTCTTGCTGGGGACAACCCTGCCCAGAGTCCACTGGGGATCTTCTCTGAAATCTTCCATTAGTCTCTCCCCTAGGGGACAGCCCCTCCTTCCTTTACCCTCAATCTCTGTGTCAAGGCTTCCTTCCAACCCACTAAACTTCTCTGAGCTGAGACCCTGCCACCACCATCTCTCCCTACAGTGTCCCTGTGGGTATTATTATCCACCATGAGTAAGCCTAAGCTGACAGTCTCTTTGGGCCTAGCAGTCAGAATGCTAGGCTAGTCATGCCTTAGATGAATCTCCTTGCTGATTTAGTCTCTGCATTCTTGGCATATCCATTTTCTGGTGTGGACTGTGAGGTCAGCTGACTTGACTGTGAGTTCTGCTCTACCACTTACCAATCCAGGGACCTTGAGGAAAATTTTAATTCCCTCTTAGCCTCATTTTTTACTCATCTATAAAGTAGGCATAATAATACCTACTCCACAGGGTTATTGTGAGGATGAAACAATAAATTGCAGATAACAGGCTTACCACCATTCGTGGCATATCATAAGCATTTAGCATACAGGTCTATCCAGGAAAGATCCAGCTATGTACTATGAAAAATAGAGACATTTACTGAAGAAGATACTAGATACAGAAACACTGGACGTAGGACAACAACACATCAGTCCCCTTCAAAATAGGCACCTTGGGACCTTACACAGTTCTTCCAATTGCCATCAGCTGCCCCATCATATTTTGCTATATCTCATTGAAGGTATGATATCTGTGCCCTTTCAAAGGTGATTTTAGTTTGGGGAAAAGTAAAAAGTCACAGGGCACCAAATTGGGGCCGTAGGGGGGCTGAGTCACCTGGATGATTTGATGTTTTGCCAAAAAGGTCTGTATGAGATGTGACACATGAGCAAGTGCGTTGTTGTGGTGAAGCTGCCAAGCTGCAGTTGCCCATAACTGCGGACTTCTGAATCATCTGAATAGTTTCCGTGGAGGAATATTCAAGCTTAACACAAAATTTGATGTAGATTCATTGCTGTACTTGCTCAGTCATTTTGAATGTGATGGTCACACAGTACATGTGGTCACTCAATGGCGTCTACTGCCCCCATTGACTAGTACAATCAAGTTATCATTGTTCATGCATGTGCAATCCAATCCACTCTCCTTGGCTGCCAGGTTACACTGATGTTGTGCAGACTATTCTCATTATATTGAAAAGGCTAGAATTTTTCCGGACAGACCTTGTGTATGAGTTGTTGGTGTTGAGGTTACCATTGCTGTTGCTATGTGTCTGAATAGATCCAAGCTCTGGAGTAAGATAATATGCAATTTTCACAAAAGCTGCAGGTCATTTTAAACTGTTCATATTCTTCCATTCTTTCTTGTTCACTGTATGTGAGTCATGATACTAAATGCCTCATAGATACAGAAAGTTCTTGAAAAGTATTTTTAAAGTTACCTGTTTCAGTGGGCAAAGCCCTAACAATGGACCAGGCACCACTGTAGGGAAGGTGGAGGGTCTGCTTAAGGAAACAGTGCTGACAGCCACAGCACTGCTCTGGGCTTCACACACACACACAAAGCCCAAGCCACACAAGCCCTATGTGCCTGAGCACTCTTTCCTTCACGGTTTTAGCAGGTAGAATTTGACCAGAATATACTCATTGTTCTCATTTTCTCAAAATACAAACTGGGCTTTATAAAAGCATAGTTAATTTACAGGATCTATGTACCAAATCTCAATTTCTTATGAATGATATGAATAGTGACTCACATTCATGGTCTCAAGTTAGGGACTTCATTAGAATCATTTATTATATCTTTCTACATGAATGGAGTGTCGAAGCTGGACTCAACACATCTGATATATACTCATATTTCAGAAAATCTGATTTTAATTTAAATATTATTACCAGGGAACCAAACTGTATTGAGGTTGAGGATTATATTTCACAGGACAAAGCCTAATTTGGGAACCCAGGTAATTTGAAGACCCATTTGTTACATTTATGAGGACAGTTTTGTAAAGGCAGCAAGCAGAATAGATGGTGGCAGTTAATGTTATAGAGGGCTCTGATGGCATGGTGATGTTGCTGTGGATGCTGTTGGGTTCACACACACCACAACCTTGGATCAGAGACCTGTCAGCTATAGTGGGAGGGCGAGCATCTCGTTTCTTCCTTCTTATGTCTTTGACATTTCTCTCATTAGTAAGTGCTAATTAGGGAGACTTGGCAGTCTCAGTGCCCATCACGAGAGCAGGTTCATATGAGAAAATGAAGAAAAAGATCAGGAAAAGAAAAGAATGAACACAGTATGGGGTCTGGGGTGTGTTGTTGCCACAAGAGTGAGCAGTAGAGCCAACACCATTCTTATGTTTATTTTTATATTTTTCTCTTAAATTTCAGACTATGGTAAGTGTGTGCAAATGGCCAATTTGGGTCTTGCACATCTGGCCCAGTCCAAGCCTCTCACTTGGATTCAGAGAATGTCATGCTCAGAAAGTGCACTGTTCATGCCCAGGCTGGAAGACCCTGCAGGAGGACTGCTGTGCACATCCCTGGAAAATGTCACTATGGACACCTGCAGGGAGACAGGAGCACTAGAAATCGAAAGCAGGTGGTCTTGGCACATCCTTTCTTTGGGCCCAAACCACCATGTACCTGGTGCTTCAGAGCAATCTATTCCTAGAGAAATTGTTTAAAGGGTGTCAGATATCTAAGGGAAGTATATATTCATTGGGTAACTAGCAACTAATTCTGCAGAGATTTCCTGAAGGGTGACTATGGGAAAAGTCTCTGCTAAACAAAAGAAGGGAGGTATTCCATCTCCCTACTATATTTTTCTACCTTTTAGTGAAGAAAGAATTAGGTGACAATATGAAATTGAAGAGGACAAAGTAGATAGGTTGCTATAACCCTATTTGGTCTAATCATGAGCTAGGTACTGTTCTAAGCATGTGTATACATCAACTAACCCCCACAACCTCTTAAAACCTATTGTTTAACCAGTTCTAAAGGGAGAGAAATAGAGTTTGGGATTCGAGCCCACACAGCTGACCCTGGAGTGTTTTACTCCTAACCTTTACACTATGCTACTTTCTCTGTTGATGGATCATTTGTAATTTAATTTGCAAATGAAAATAATGAGTTTACAAACACAACTTGACATTGTAACACAATGATTCATAAATAGCCTAGAAACTGGACTACACTTACATGGCAAGCTGTATAAATAGCACAAATTCACAGGCAGCACCTGACGAAGTTTGTTGAAGGAGTTGTTTTTGGGGGGGGTTTTTGGATGAGTTATACACCTGCTTCAGCAAGCAGGTATGGACAATTCATCTGGACTTTGACATCTTTTTTTTACGATTTTTATTTATTCATTTTTAGAGAGAGGGGAAGAGAAGGAGAGAGAGGAAGAGAAATATCAATGTGTGGTAGTTTCTCACACACCCTGTACTGGGGACCTGGCCAGCAACCAAGGCATGTGCCCTGACTGGGAATGGAACTGGTGACCCTTTGGTTTGCAGCTCATACTCAATCCACTGAGCCACACCAGCCAGGGCTGAACTTTGACATCTTAAAGTCTTAAAAATTACTGCACCAAATTTGATAAGTGCAAATATGTATCACTATGCACTGCAAACTGAATCAATAATGATGAAGTGAACTGTATCTGTTGCTGTGTAATAAACCACTCCAAAACACAGCGGCTGAAAACAACCACCATTTTGTTACTCTATTTCACAGTTTTCTGAATTAGAAATTCAAGCATGGCTTAGTTGGTTGAATCTTTTGCTTCATGTGGTGTTGACTGGAGACAGCAGGACTGGTCTACAGGTTTCAAGACAGCTGTGCTTATGTACCCGGCCCTATTGTGGGGATGACTAGGACTGTGAGCCCAGCTGGGCTTTCTCACTCCTGTGCAGTCTCAGGACCTCTACACATGGTGCCTCCAGCAAGGTAATCAGGCTTCCACATGGCAGATCAGGGCTCCAGGGGCCCAAGGTAAGGCTGCCAGTCTATTTAAAGGCTGGGCCTGGAGCTGCCACAGCATCACTTCTGACATACTCTTTTGGTCAAGTAGTCGCAGATCAACACAGATTTAAGAGTAGAGGAAATGGACTCCACCTGTTGATGTAGGAATGTCCAAGAATTTGTGACTAACTTTAATCTGTTATTCAAAGTAGTGGTACTTTATAGCACTTTAAAAGTCTAAAGAGGCTGTGACTGGCTCAGCACCTCTCCCATTTCCACCTGCTCTTAGTTTTTGTCCATGTGTCCTTTATACTTGTTTCTGTAAACCCTTCCCCTTTTCCCCTGAAATTCCCTAACCCTCTCTCCTCTGAACACTGTCAGCCTATTCTCTATTTCAGTGTCTTTGGTTATATTTTGCTTGTTTCTTTGTTTTGTTCTTTACATTCCTGTTAAAGGTGAGATCATATGGTATTTGTCTTTCACTGCTTGCCTTATTTTGCTTAGTATAATGCTTTCCAGTTCCATCCATGCTGTTGCAAAGGATAGGAGCTCCTTCTTTCTTTCTGCTGCATAGAATTCCACTGTGGAAATGTACCATAGTTTTTTGATCCATTCATTTACTGATGGGAATCTAGGTTGCTTCCAACACTTGACTATAGTAAATTGTGCTGCTATATACATTGGGGTACATAGGTTCTTCTGGATTGGTGTTTCAGGGTTCTTAGGATATAATCCTAGCAGTGGAATTGCTGGGTCAAAAGGCAGATCCATTTTTAGTTTTCTGAGAAAATTCCATACTGTTTTCCATAGTGGTTGTGCCAGTCTGCAATCCCACCAACAGTGCACTAGGGTTCCTTTTCCTTTACAACCTCTCCAACACTTGTTGTTTGTTGCTTTGTTTCTGATGGCCATTCTGAATGGTGAGAAGTGGTATCTCACTGTGGTTTTAATTTGCAACTCTCTGATAGCTAGCAATACTGAGCATCTTTTCATGTGTCTCTGGATCCTCTGTATGTCCTCCTTGAAGAGGTGTCTGTTCAAGTCCTTTGTCCATTTGTTAACTGGGTTGCTTGTCTTCTTAGAGTGGAGTCATGTAAGTTCTTTATATATTTTGGAGATTAAACCCTTGTCTGAGGTATCATTGGCAAATATGTTTTCCCATACAGTTGGTACTCTTTTTATTTTAATACTATTTCTTGAGCCATGCAGAAGCTTTTTATTTTGATGAGATCCCATTTATTGATTCTTTTCTTTATGTCCCTTGCACTGGGGGACATATCAGTAAAAATGTTGCTGCATGAAATATCTGAGATTTTCCTGCCTATGTTCTTCTCTAGTACTTTAATGGTGTCACAGCTTATATTTGAATCTTTTCTCCACCTTGAATTTATTTTTGTGTATGGTGTAAGTTGATGCTTGAGTTTCATTTTTTTGCACGTAGCTGTCCAGTTCTCCCAACACGATATGTTGAAAAGGCTATTGTTACACCATTTTATGTTGCTGCCCCATTTGTCAAATATTAATTGACCATAGATACTTGGGTTTATTTCTGGGCTCTCTGTTCTGTTCCATTGGTCCATGTGCCTGTTTTTGTACCAGGCTGTTTTGATTACAGTGGCCTTGTAGTACAGTTTGGTATCAGGTATTGTGTTCACTCCTACTTTGTTCTTCTTTCTCAAAATTGCAGCAGCTATTCAGGGTCATTTATGGTTGCATATAAATTTTTGAAGTGTTTGATATATATTCTATATCTGTGAAATATGCCATTGGTACTTTAATAAATATTGCATTGAATCTGTAAATTGCTTTGGGTAGAATAGACATTTTGATGATGTTAATTCTTCTGATCCACGAACATGGTGTATGTTTCCATTTGTTTGTGTCTTCCTTGATTTCTTTCTTCAGTGTTGTGTAGTTTTCTGCATACAGGTCTTTTATTTCCTTGGTTAGGTTTATTCCTTGGTATTTTATTTTTCTTGCTGCTATATCAAATGGGATTTTTTCTTGATTTCTGTTTCTGCTGTTTCATTGTTGGTATACAAAAATGCCTTTGATTTCTGGATATTGACTTTGTATCCTGCTGTTTTGCCGAATTGGTTTATTAGGTCAAGCAGTCTTTTGGTGGGGTCTATAGGATTTTCTACATACACTATCATGTCATCTGCAAACAATGACAGTTTTGTTTCCTCATTTCCGATTTGGATGCCTTTTATTTAATTTTCTTGTCTGATCGCTGTGGCTAAAACTTCCAGTACTATATTGAATAGAAGTGGAGGAAGTGGACAACCTTGTCTTGTTCCTGATCTTCATAGAAAAGATTTTAGTTTTTGCCCGTTGAGTATGATGTTGGCTGTAGGTCTGTCATATATGGCCTTTGTTATGTTGAGGAATGCTCCCTCTATTCCCACTTTGCTGAGTTTTTATCATAAACAAGTGCTGTCCCTTATCAAATGCTTTTCCCCCATCTATTGATATGATCATGTGATTTTTGCCTTTCCTTTTGTTTATGTGATGTATTACATTTACTGATTTGTGAATGTTGAACCATCCTTGCATCCCTGGGATGAATCCCACTTGGTCATGGTGCATGATCTTTTTAATGTATTGTTGTATGCGGTTTGCCAATATTTTGTTGAGGATTTTAGCGTCTATGTTCATCAGCAATATTGGCCTGATCTTTTCTTTCTTTGTTGTGTCTTTATCTGGTTTTGGGATTAGGATGATGCTGGCTTTATAAAAGGAGTTTGGGAGTCTTCCATCATCCTGGATTTTTTGGAATAGTCTGTGGAGGATAGGGGTTACCTTTTCTTTAAATACTTTGTAGAATTTTCCTGTGAAACCATCCAGACCCAGACTTTTGTGTGTCAGGAGTTTTTTGATTACTGCTTCAAGTTCATTTGCTGTTATTGGTTTCTTTAGGCCTTCTGCTCCTTCTTCACTGAGTTTTGGAAGATTATATTTTTCTAGAAATTTGTCCACTTCACCTAGATTTTCAAATTCCTTGGCATACAGTACTTTGTAGTAATTTCTTACAGTGCTTTGTATTTCTGTGGTGTAAGTTCTAATCTCTCCTCTTTCATTTCTGATTGTGTTTATTTGGGTCTTCTTTCTTTTTTTCTTGATGAGCCTACTTAAAGGCTTGTTGATTTTGTTTATCTTTCAAAGATCCAGCTCCTGGATTCCTTGATCCTTAGAATTGTGCTTTTAGTCTCTGTGTCATTTAATTCTGCTCTGATCTTGGTTATTTCCTTTCTTCTACTTGCTCTGGCCATCTTTGTTGTTGTTCGTAGAGTTCTTGTAGACATAGGGTTAGGATGTTTGTTTGAAATGTTTCTATCTTTTTTAGGTAGGCTTGTATCACTATGAACTTTTCTCTCAGGACTGTGTTTGCTGCGTCCATAAATTTTGGGTGGTTGTGAGTTCATTTTCATTTATTTTTAGAAACTTTTTTATTTCTTCCCTAACTTTATTCTTGACCCATTCATTGTTTAATAGCATGCTACTCAATCTCCATGATTTTGGATTTTTTTTCCCTTGTGGTTGGTTTCTAGTTTCAGTACCTTGTGATCTGAGAAAATGCTGGTATGATTTCAATTTTCTTGAATTTTTTGAGGCTTGTTTGGTGTCCTATCATGTGTT